TCTCTCATCTGTTGCCTTAGCTAGGTTAAAATAACTGTCTAGATACTCGTGCTTGTTGTATCTTATCTCCTTTTTTATCACCTCTCTGTCTTCTTCACTGTGCTTAAGTCTTTTGTCAATCTGATTTAATTTCGCCAACAAGTCACCCAGCTCAATGGTAGTCTCTTCATGGTCAGCTGTCGGTCTCTCTTCGGCCGTAGCCTCTGCTTTAGCTTGTTCCTCTCTTGGATTGGCTTCTGAGGTCTTCGTGCTCACTGTCCCAAATGTTCGTGCTCTTTCTGCTTTTGGTTCTTCAGTCACGTTTTCCTTTGTTTTTATTCCGAACATTATTCCCAATTTTTCCGTAAAAGATGTCCTCTTTACTTGAGAGTCTTCTTTCACCGTTTCTTCGGTGTTGCCTATTGCATCTTCCGCGTCATCTATCGGTGAGAACTCTATGGGTTTCTGGTTCGGTTCCTCTGCATTGGGCATTGGAGTTGACTCTGTCGCCATCTTCCTTGTTTCATCCACACTTTGATCGGGTGTCTCTAGATCAATCTCGATGGTGGGTTCTACTCGCTCCCCTTCCGTGCCCTCTTTCGCCCTGTTCTCCGCTGTACTCCTTGTGCTGACCATGTTAACTGAAAAGTTCGTCTTCGTTATCTTTGGGCCCGTTGATGTCGTTCCGCGCAGCGATGAATTATATTTCGTGTTTGATCCACTTGACCTTTTTTCGAGCACCGGTACCCTACTCCGCCTCATTATTTCTATTTACAACTGCTTCTATTTACAATTTTATTATATACACGATTCTATTCTAAGGGTAAAAAAAATATTTTTTGTGGTAACAAATTCTGTACAACGTGTTAAAAACCTTATCCAATTCTCTTTCTTAAACCTCCGAAAAACTTTCCTTAATTTGGTCTTAACCGTACCTATTTCGATTTGTCTTATTCTGTCTTAAGACACACTTGTTGTGATTCTACTTCAATTTTTATACCGTCCCAAGACTATTCGTCACTATCACAGTACTCTCCGCTAGTGTCCTAAGACCCTTGTACCAAGACTACTGTCCCAAGACTAGTGTCCCAAGGCTAGTGTCCCAAGACTACTGTCCCAAGACCAGTGTCCCAAGGCTAGTGTCCCAAGACTAGTGTCCCAAGGCTAGTGTCCCAAGACTACTGTCCCAAGACTAGTGTCCCAAGGGTAGTGTCCCAAGACCAGTGTCCCAAGGCTGGTGTCCCAAGACTACTGTCCCAAGGCTAGTGTCCCAAGACTACTGTCCCAAGACCAGTGTCCCAAGACCAGTGTCCCAAGGCTAGTGTCCCAAGACTAGTGTCCCAAGGCTAGTGTCCCAAGACTAGTGTCCCAAGACCCTTGTCCCAAGACCACTGTCCCAAGACCACTGTCCCAAGACCCTGTCCCAAGACCACTGTCCCAAGACCCTGTCCCAAGACCACTGTCCCAAGACCCTGTCCCAAGACCCTGTCCCAAGACCCTGTCCCAAGACCCTTGTCCCAAGACCACTGTCCCAAGACCCCGTCCCAAGACCACTGTCCCAAGACCCTGTCCCAAGACCACTGTCCCAAGACCACTGTCCCAAGACCACTGTCCCAAGACCCTGTCCCAAGACCACTGTCCCAAGACCCTGTCCCAAGACCACTGTCCCAAGACCCTGTCCCAAGACCACTGTCCCAAGACTGCTCTGTCCCAAGACTTCTTCGGTACTGTCCCAAGACTCGTCACGGAGTGTCTTCCTCGTTGTAGGGTCTTCTTGAATCACCGTACCTTGTACCACCACTCAAGCTCTAGTAAAATTTTCCCAAAAACCCTCTCTTAAAAGCCAAATGCTGACCCCCTCTTCTTTTTGGTTGTTTCTATTTCAATGTAGGTGCGCAGGTATCTTGTGATCACCTGTTCGTATAAAACCAAACACAAATCCTCACTAAAATGCAACAAAAATCTAAGTAAGAAAAATAATAAAAACAGAAAAATGAGCCCACCTGAAATTCAAAGGTGACCAATGTCTACCTTTCGTCGAAAAAAATGTCTGGTACCTAATTGCCACGCGTTTTCCTCCACCCACTAGTGATCTTATGGGGTTTCACAAAAGCTGTTTATATCCGGTCCCCCCTACCAAACCAACCAGCGTACCAGTCTTAACTCGAGTTGAATTTTGGATCTCCACCTAATATTACCAACGCGTGTTAATTTCTAATGTAACTAAGTCAACGATGTCGACTAATTAGTTACTCTAATTTCCCCCTTTTTACAATTTACAACCGCCAACCTCTAACTTAACCAGTCCCCCTTCTAACCTCCCCCCTTTCTAGCCCCCCTTCTTAAGCCTAAAAATTACTTTAAGCGCCGGGTGCTAAACCTCTCAAGAGAAAACCGTAGACCTGTTTCCAGGCCTGCTCAAGTAAAAACGTTCCTCAAAACTGGGGGATTTCGCTTATCCAATTTTACACTTATCTCCTATAATGTAATGTGGATTCTAACGATACCCGTTCTGCCCAACTTGAGAACTCGAGAATTGCCAAATCCTTCTTGGCTGCTTTCCCACTCGACTGGTCACCTGTTCCAGTCCAGTCTCCTATTGGTTCAGCTCAAGTGTCCCTGAACCACTTTCCCACTCGGCTGGTCACCTCTTCCAGTCAAGTCTCCTATTGGTTCAGCTCAAGTGTCCCTGAACCACTTTCCCACTCGGCTGGTCACCTCTTCCAGTCAAGTCTCCTATTGGTCCAGCTAAGTTCCAAGCTATCTGAAAACCCTTGACGACGCCCCACTTCGGGCACTTTATTCAGTTTACTGGTTTAAATTGCTAGGTTGATCGAAACGATCGAACTTGTAAAACAGTATGGGTATACTATTTAATTAATATAAAGGTTTGATCCAACTAATCTGGTGTCAAAGTCACTGTCTTTTTTCGTTTTATGGTTTTTGTTCCTTTTTCTATTCTTTTTTTGTTTTTGTTTTGCTTTTTGTCTTTTTGCTCGTGTTTTTGTCCCCCTAGTTGCCCCCCTTTACTCGGTTAGCTAAGCCTCGTTCGGAGAGCGTACCAGGAAATTTTCTCGAGTTTTCTTAAAAAGCTATCACGGTACAACCGGAAGGTTTGCACGTTCCTGTCGAACCGTACCGCCGGTACTTTAGAATGGGCATTCAGCCCGAAGCTGTCTCAAGTGGGTTCGACTCCGTAGTCTTGATGTCGTAAACACCCAGGAGCGCCATAAAAACACTATGTAACATTCGTCTACTGCAGTCACACATGAGGCTTAAGAAAAATAGGCCCTATAACCACTGGCTCAAGGGTCAGGGACACTATCTCTTGTGTTTTTCTACCTCAAGAACGGTCGGAGCCAGTTCGGTTCGCTTGTGACATGAGACTACGACCCGTTACAGCTTAAAGGCTACTACTAAAATATCCCCCCACTCTAGAATTAGAAACGTCCCCATACTTAGGTCTCTAGATACCCAAAATACATGAACGCCGTTAAAAACCGGGTTGGAACAATCCGTTAAGTTACTTTTTATTAGACAGTGTAACTTTGATCCATTTCAGATGGATCAACCTAAAACTCGCCTTACCTCAACATAACAATTATAAAACACACTCTAGGAATTAGAATTTGTACTCACATAGTAGCACGCTCAAGAACCAGGAAGTAAATAAGTCGGTAAACAACTCAAGAATCAACAAAGTAACTAAAATGAGTTTAATGTCAGTCAGTTTTAACAACAAGAACAAGTTTTTACTCTAGACTGCAAGTTCTCGTGAACCATTGGGACACTCTAGCTGTCCACCTTTCCACCGAAGGTTCACTCTGGTCCAGTCAATAATAGTATTCCAATCGTAATAATCCAACTCGAGGGAATGCTCTCGTCTCTGTCACAGATGGGACAGCTCTACTCTCGATTATTATAGTGATGGAAATTGCGAATAGCAATTTCCTACTGCTTTTTCTTGCGACTTTCCCGCGTTTTCGATTCAATTGTTCTGAAATGGTTCTCTTCTCTTTTTCTGATTTTCAGTTCTCGCGAGAAAATCGTGCATGACAGGTTCCATTCGAAATTTTGAAAAATTAAATTTCACTCCAAAATCAAGTGTTTTTTGCTTCTCTCAAGGTCAAACTTCCAAATATGACCGACTGGCACAGTGCACACTAAAGCTAAAATCAAAAACTAGAGCGTAATTATCAAAAATGATCAATTGTCAAAATTTTATATCTGACAATCTCGCTATAAGTTCGCGGCTGGTCCCGCGTCGTCGCTTTGCAGCTATAACTTGCTCAATGAGGTGGTAACTATTGGGCTTCATGCTAATTGTTTTTTATTGGAATTTGAACAACAGTCAATTAGGCTAATTAATTGTTGGCGGAAAGTTTGGCCAATCAGATTTAGTTGGCTGTTGGGACTGATTTTTGGTTTTGATACAAATGAACGTTGGTGCAAATGATACTTCACTTTTTGTGCCTTATTTTAGGGTGGATTCAGTTTGTTATTTTACAGTGAACTAAAATTGGACTGAAAGTTCTATTTCGCTGAGCCAGCGATTGTCTTTCATTATAATTGTTACTCAAAGCACGGGAAATTGTGTCACTCGTCTTTTTTCTGGTGTTTCTTCACATTGTTCAACAGCCTCTTTTTTGTTGTTCATCCGTGTTTTAAAAAAAAACAGAATTATCGCATAAAGCCCAGGCGTTTTGTTGTTTTTTCTCGTGTCGGGTTACGTGTTCTTATTGAAGAAACGTAATCTGTATCAATTGTATTCATCTCTTTTTTTATCATTATCACTTCCATATCTAGAAAATTCCTAGGATTTTGACTGGAATATGTGATGACAGGACTCCTGACTCTAACCTTAGTTACTATGATACTTTAGACCTGATTACACGGATAAGTGTTCAGAAAAAAACGGGCTCAGAGTGATATTACTACCAGAGCAATTTTCCTCTTTTTCACTTACTGTTGCCTGTGTCGATATGTAATGCTTGTGTGCCATATATATTCTTTTCAGGTATGTTCGAAAAATAAAAGATCATGCGCAATCCCCTCAAGGTGAGGGTGAGAGTAATATTCTGCCTCCTTGTGTTTTGTGCAGTGTCTTTGAATGTTTGGTTGGCAACTGAAAGCTCAAATAGAGGCTTTGGCAGCCATTTCATGCGAACGTTTTCTCCAAGTGATTTGGCAGGAGGAATGTTTGGCTTCAAAGCTGCTCATGTAAAGCAAAATATACTCAAGAACATTTCAAGACCTTTCCTCAGCAGAGAAACTCAAAAGACCTTGCATCACGTGTTTGAGGACAATGCAGGTATGAATAAAATAATGGAGTAGTTTAACTAAATACTAGTAGTTTTCTTCGCAAATGTAGCGGTCGCTTAAGCATTCTGGCCAAGCATGCAAAGGAATTGACGGACAAAATCTTCACTTCATTGTCTTTAATTATGATTTTGTTAATAATTTTACTAAACATGTTTGATTTAGATGCACCACTCTTCGACGTTTTGGAAGAGACTGCTTTATACAGGCTGAAATGTATAATGGAGAAAACTGACCAACTGAATACACAAGTAAAACGTGATCAAAACCAAATGAGCATATCGAGTTTTCCAGCCAAATGTGAGAAAAGTTCAACTGCTGCAAAGCAACGACCTCTGAAGTCAAGCTACCCTGAAAGGAATTTTCAGCGGTACTGTACAGATAACGTGGTGCTAAAAAAGCCAGACTTTGTCACACTAGGCCATATTAAACCACATATCTTTCTAGGTCAGTATACTTTAAATATTCTTTGCTACTCTCTTGAAAATTGATATTTCACTTAAAGTGCATTTCACTTGCAAGAGCAAGTGGGTTTCGAACTTGGTATGTTCATCAAATTCAAAAATATGTTTGTTGACTGCTCAGTGCTCGTAACATGAGCTAAATTGATAGTGCCACCGAATAAGTGACTCCATTGCGAGAAATTAGGGACTTGTGTCAGAAGTTTATGTAAAATGGTAACCGATTTTCTCTTTAACCAGTCTTGTTAAAATGTGACCCTCAAAAGTATGTTTCAATTCTGATTAGGAATTGGAATAGCTACAGTGAGCAGACCTCAAGAGTCTTACTTGGAGCAAACTTTAACTGAACTCTTCTCGAAAGCTTCGGTTTCAGAAATGGAGGACGTTGCGGTTATAGTTTTTCTAGCCGATCTAGACGAAAGAAAAGCGAAAGAACAGGTATTAAAACCAGAGGTCTACTTTTTTGGAGTTTTTTTTGTAATTCAACAATTTTCGCGTAACTCGTGAAAATAGGAATTTTGAACTCTGCATAAGGTCTTAACATGTAAAGTATAATTTTTGAAAACTCGAAAGTCAAAGCTTGAGTGACCTTCGATAAGTTTAAATATAGAGACAGAAGGTATCTCAAGGAAGATTTCTTCAGGTTATTCGTCAAGCGACTCCTCTTGGTAAGTGTCTTAAGAAACTCAACCAATCTCATTACGCTTGCGATCAGCTACAGTTATCAAATCGGAATGTAGACTTTTCCAAGTTAACAACTTTTTAACAAAATCACTTGACAGTTTGAATTATAATGGATTCAAATTTATTTGCTTTAGCTTTTTCTTCGGCCGAAATGGTTTCACCTTAAATTTTATCGGCTTAGTGATCTAATTGTGAGATGTTTGAAGTGAAAAATTTTACAAGCCTCTCCGGCAACACTCTAAAGAGTAAAAGTCTCCGACTTTCAGAACTTGTTAGCTCATTAAAATAATTTTATTACAAGAATTTTGTAATAGTTTTTTCGACATTTCCAATTTTTTTTTTACTTCAGTGTCATTTTTTTTCTCTGCTAGCTTGCTAGGTTTGTGTGATCGCAAGTAGCGCGAAGCTCAGTTTCGTCTCTGTGTCATATTTCAGTTCGAAATTGTCGACATTCCTAATTTTTCAAGTTTCTATCTTAACAATTGTATTCAGTTATTACACGACTGATAATGATCTTTCCTCTATAACATCTCTTTAAAGCAACTTATAATACTTGCGTATTCAATATTTTTGGTTTGCAGGTTAAAGCAAAATTGAAGGCTTCGTTTTCAAGACAAATTGACGCAGGGATGTTATTGGTAATTGAAGCGCCTTCAGCGTTCTACCCACAACTCACGAAACTGAAACGGAACTTCAACGATGATCCGAATCGAGTCTATTGGCGCTCTAAGCAATGCGTTGACTTTTCGTTCATTTTCAGTTTTGCACACAATATTAGCAGGTTTTACCTACATCTCGAAGATGATGTAATAACGAAACACGGTTACGTCACAACAATTAAAGAGACAGCTAAACAAATGGGTACTTCGGCTTTCGAAATTGAGTTCTCAGTGTTGGGATTCATAGCTAAAATGTTCAGAAGTTCGAGTTTGTTGGATATGGCGGCGTTTCATCTATTTAATTATGAGGAGATGCCAGTGGATATGCTACAGCCAGTGTATAATGCTCTGATTTCACCTTTGAAACATGAACCACTCACACATTACCCTTCGCTTTTCCAGCATAAAGGAAAGTCTTCTAGTCTGAAAGTAAGTTTGAAAATTTTCACTTTTTTCCTGTCGATTGTTGGTTGCTCTGGGACTTGTATTATTTAGATTACAAGATTATTTTGGAAAACTATATCTACGTGCGCTAGATTTTGTAAGTATTTTGGGTATTCACATCTATATTTCGCAGGTCAAGTTTAGAAGGCGTTTAAAAGAAGCGGACGCAAATTTTGTTGACCCTTTTACTGGGGTTGGTACTAAGAACATTGCATCTACCCAGACAATTGCAAAACATTGTGACGAAAACTACAAATTAAAAAAACACTGTATGAGGCTATTTTAGACACCGTTAAAATGTATTCACTTTTTTTTGATCAATTAGATGATGGTATAATTGAGAAGACCTGTTGTTATTTTTTTGCTAGAATCCAGCGTTTGTTATATAATGTTTTGTGTCTCTAGATAGCCATCTCATTTTAGCTGAAAAATAAGGCAAGAGTTGCGTGTGCACAGAGTAACAATACCCAATGAGTTTGAAAAATTAATTTAGATGATCATCTTTAAAAGTAATTTCGACACACACTAATGTTTTGAAAGCTGGAGCTATGGACGGGCCGCTGGCATGATAGCTTGAAGAAATACTATGACCTTCCATGCCAATAAGTAGAAATTTTAGAGCACTTTTTCCAGATTGCACTCTTGATTAACGAAGTAGAAATGCGCGAATGCATTATAATGTTACTTTCTATATGCACCGACAAAAAAGCGTCAATTTGCATCGGTGTCTATGCTGCAATCATAGTATCCGATTGACTGGCATCGGAATGAACGTCTTAACGTTATGAAGACATCTATTTAGGTTGTTCCGACCACTCTCAAAGAGTGGGAATGAACTATGGTCTAGGACAAGTTTTTTCCTCGTCTAGGGCAAGTTATTTTAGGTGTTACCAAAGAAACTTGTAAAGCGCTGAATGTTCTATCATTTTAAAGCCCGTTCGGCCGTAATTCGGTTTATAAAAAGATGTTTTCAATAAAAATATTCTTTCTTTCGGTAAACAATTTTGGAGATCGACTATTTATTTTGTTTTCTCAACAAATAGTTGAGCTTTTATTCCATTTTATAAACAAACAATTGGCGATTCAGTCGTTTCATTTTGGGGGAAAATGTTTTTTTTTTGAATTAATTCACTTGCGAGAGCAATTTTCTTGTACTTGAATACCGTGTTCGGAACATTCTGTGGTTAACTATCGTATACCCTTGTTTTTCTTTGCACTTGCTAGTCAGCGAAAAAAAAACTAGTCAGTCTTTTTTTTCAGTTTCCTTGTGTTCATTAGCACTTTTTCGACTGCCTGTTAGCTATCTTATAAATTCCAGGAGGGGCGGGGCGTTTTCGTGTCTTTAAATTCAATATTTTGAAGTTTTTCATGGAAAAAAAATTTATGACAGTTTCGTTCTGGCGAAATGGGCTTCTTTCCAATATTTATCGTCTAAGTGTTAGGTTGATAATTGATACTGAATGCTTTATTAATCCTCGTTTTTGTGTTTCTCGACTGTTTTTTGATATTGAGCATCAATCGAGATAAACTTATGAGCTTTTGTAATGTTGTTGTTTTTCTTCAAACATATTTTTTTTTTAAAATTAGGAGTCATTGAACGTACTTTAGACTCGTATGAATGTCCATTTGTTCAGGTTCAAATTGACTTTTTTTTGCAGTTCGACTTTTGATTTCTTTTTAAGTTTGTTTCTTTTTCTTTGTTAAAAGGTCTAAAAGTGTAAAGGTCTAATTTCGAAGAATATAATTTATTTGTTGGATTTCCCAGCGAAATAAAAGTTTCATCTTTTGATCCAGTTTTCTCGAATTGGTTTGTTTTTATTAAAAAATTTAATTGTCAATCATAAATTGTTCTAAAAATTCAAAGAGTCAAATTTGTGATTTTTCTAAAAAGCAAGTCAGGATTTTTTTCTATTTACTTGCTATCGTTGACTCTTTTCGAACTGTCTGTTGGCTATGCGACTTTGTCTCAGTTTCTATTCTCTGGCTTGCAATGTTTTGCTTACGTTGTATCGCAAGTGTTGCAAGGCTCTGCTTCGGCTCTGTGTAAAACCTAGTTTACCTATATAGTTAAACTTTTTTTGAGTTAACTCACTCTTAATTAACTTTGTATTTAATTTGTATGAAATATTGTAATTAAGTTACAGTTTTTAATTCAATTGACCAAATATTATCCGAAACAAACGGATCATTCAGCGCCGCAAGAATTGGCGAAACTTTAAAACCTAAAAAATTGATATAGATTTTATATAGTTTTTATGGTCTGATCTTGACGGCTTTTAGACGTTTTAGCCTTGTTAGATTGTGTTAGTCTGATTATAAGCTTCATTTGTTATTACCACTGCGATAAGTAAGGGTATTGCAATCGGGTGCTAGACTTTTTCCCCGTTAATTACTTTGTTCTCAGGACTCATCTCTAGTGGACTTCTGGACTCCACTCTATTGGTACTTTTTTCATAATTATCTCAAATTCTTAGCGTCTTCGGTCCGCTTAACCTGGAGGTAACTGTGACATTCGACCAGAATGTGAAAAATGCAATCTCTGCAGAATTCGAATTTTTAGCAGCGAGCCTTCCGGATTGATGATTATTAAGAATTAAGAACGTTATTGGAACGATTGGCCAAACGGTGAGGGCTAGAATATTCTGGTATTTTGAAATTTTAAAAATTCGAAGTGATGACGTAACTTTTCTGAGAAACGTCAGAAACGGCCATTTTGGCAAAGAAGTAAAAGAGAAACACAACAACATTAGTTGCGCGGACGAGAAGTACGAAAATTGTGAGAAAAAACAATAGCCAATTGCAGAAATAGCAGTGAACACTCCGAGTTGCAACTATTGCGTCGCTACAATAGTTGCAGGGCCGTTGCAGACAACGGTGAAGGGTGGAGGACAGCCTTCCGGATTAAGAGGAAGTCAAGATTAGCGAGCTTGATTCAGTGGATTCAAGAATCCGGAAGGGTTTCGGGACTGAAACTTTTAGCCTGTTATATAGACTTTTAGCTTCTTGTCATGTCCTGATTTGAATTTAATTAACATCTGGATTCATTTTGATAAGGATGAGAAGCTAGGAGTTGGGGGAAAGGGTTGATCCATCTTCGATGGAGATGATGATTTTAATCTACTGAACAAAAACAATAGTAATATAATAAGTAGTAGTAGCCCTGTTTTTAGGAGTGACCTCGTGGTCTGGGGATACTGAGACCCAGCCATGAGCTCACTATTTCTGCATGTAATTAAGTTAATTTGAGTGTTTTGACCGAAGCCGAAAGCAGTAACGTTTTTTGTCGACCCGATGTTAGAAAAGACCACCGAAAGTACTGGCTTGGTAGAGACGGTGAAAAGCATGCAAAGCTCTGTTTAGACGTTAGCCAGTCGTCTTAAGACTTAGTTTTGTTTTCCGTCGATATGGATCTTCCGGGCGAATGTTACAAACGAATACACCTGGGACACCCAGGGTCCTGGGTTCGAATATGGCCAGGACCTGTTTTTTTTTCTCAAACTGGAAATATTCTGTTTCAAATAAAAGTGTCGGCCAATTATTTGTCTGCTTATCTTTTGTTGGCTCAGTTGTCACACCTTGGAATGATTTTTTTTGCTGCGCGCATTTTAAATGTTTTACTGTTTGATTTACTCCTGCAGTAAGTAATTTTTTTTATCTTAGACTTCGTATTTCCTTTTTTGTTTCGCCTAAACTTTTTATTCGGCCCAAATTATTTTGGTCAATTTTATCGGCTTAGTGGCCCAATTTTGGGTCTTTTCAAGAGAAACACAGTTTTTACGCTCGGTTTGTTGAATTTTTTTTGTTCATTTTTGGCTTAAAAGGTTACGGCCTATAATATATCAGCTTAGAGGCCCCTTTTTGAGTCATTTGAAGCGCAAAAAGGGTTTTATGTATACATTTTGAGAGGGGACTTGAAAGTGTTTTGAGTTTTCATTTTTTTGGATAAAATATTTTTTCGGCGCAATGTGTGTCTGGTCAAGAATTGTCGGGTTTGTAAGTTTTGTTTCGATGCTTCTTTTACATTCAATTGTTTTACTTTTTGGCATGTTTTCTTGAAAAGAACTTTTATTGAAGACTAAATTTAGATAATTGTTAGAAAGTTTTTGATAGATCAATGTGTGTTTGTAAAACTTGTAAAGGTGCAAGTAATTTACTTCCAAGATTTTGGATTTTTTTTTTGCAACTCTTATAGTTTTTGAGATAATTTTTTGATTTTATAATTTTTTGATTTTTTATCGACGCTTCCTGTGCAAGTAGTAATAGTCATTCTTTTTGTATCACTAGTGGTGCGAGCGAAGCGAAACTTGGGTAAAGTTGAGTTTAGGACGCTTTATCAACAAGGAAATGGACAAAAATACAAGCTGTTCAGTTCTTTACGGTGTATCGCAGTTGTGCCCCTGGTTAAGACCGACATGCAGTTTTTTTGGCTATTTTTCTGGACTGGGTTATGTTGTCTCGCCGTCGAGCAACGATCACGGATCATGGTAGGCCACAAACATCCGATTTATGTAAATTTTTTGGTTTTCTTATCCGGTATGTGTCAATCAGCACTGTAATTCAAAGTAGAATTAGTATGAATATGTTGTTCCACGAGAAAGCGAGAGCGTTTTTTTTTCTAATGATGTATAGCGAGTATAAGTGTTTCTATCTATAATCAGTTTCTTAAGTTATAATTTAAATTTAGGGCAAGAAACAAACTGCACAGGATCCTTTCTTCGATTCTCATCGCAACTTCATTTCCTGGAAACACATTGAAATATCAGCCTTCTCTAACATGCCTCCATTTGGGCCCAGTCATCCCGAAAACCCCTTAGGACTAGGCGCTGTTTTTGCCACAAAAGGACCGCCAAAGCTGAACGACTATTATACTATTTACTTATTCGAGGAGAAAGTCATAGAGTACGTTTTAATTGCGTCGGGCGATGAAAAGCGACCTCATGAAAATGCAATTGGAGCCGAAGTTTTCTACTCGTCGACTGTGGGCGAAAGAACGAGACGTCAAGCTTCGTGTGGAGCAACGTTTAAGCAGTTGGGCAAGTTTGAGCAGAGTGTTTTTGCGATGAATTTGACAGAGTTTGGCAAAATTGGATGCATCAAAGTACAGTTTACATCGCCTGTTCCGACTAGTAGAAAACGAGTGCTGGTTATTTCCCAGGTAGGTTTGATTTAAAAGTTGTGAGGCACCAAGTGAACAATCTCCACCTTAAATCAATTTAGGGAGGAGATTGTTCACTTGGTTAAAAGTAATATTTTTCAGCCAATCAGATTTGAGCATGTCTTGACATGCTTGAAGTTTCATTTAACTTTAGGTCGAAAATTGTTCACTTGGTCTATTTAGGGGGGAGATTGTTCACATGGGCCGTTGAAAATGAAAGATAATCACGGAAATCTATTATTTGTGCTGGTTCTTAAAGTTTGATTTAATATTTCATGGCCAATCATGGTTTTTTTAAAAGGGTGAATAATCATGGCGTAAAAAGGGGTTGTTCTTCATAGCAGATGGCCAAAATGTTAGAAGGTTGTTTTAGCCAATCAGAATTTAGCATCCGGAAGTTTGCGAGAAATGAGCTGAAAAGTTAATGTTTGGACTGTTCAAAGAAAATTGGTTGGTTGAAAGGCTTCTGCCATGATAACAGCCCCCCAGTTTAAGTATTCTAGTATGATAAGCCAAATGTCCTTCGAAGTCAATTGATGTTTTACATGTAAACCAAACAGACATACCTCAATGGTTGACAGATGCATTATGAAAAGTGTTAATTAGCTCTTCAACCTGATTCAATTGTCACGTTACAAATTGATGAATTGTGAAAATACTACTAAGATAACAGTTCGCTTATAAGCTAGTTGAACATTTTTGTATGAACCCAAATGTTTCATGAACTATGTCCTAACTTAATTAGTCAGCAAAATTACTTAACTAGCAAAGTTAGTATTTTCTATGACTAACTATAATCATTTTTTTTACTACAAATAATACATTAATCTGGTACTATGACTTTTTAGTTAAACTAAAATAAATATCTAAACCAGCTGATTTAACTAACCAATCAGCATACAATTTGTAATATCAAGTCAATTATGTCCATTTTGTTATTAATTATGTTCAGGTGAATATCGCTTTGCCTGGAATGGTCGCGTCGCATTTCAGAGAAGGAAACAAAGATCTTAGCAATCTCGCGAACAGCGCTGCGGCTGTGCTTCACAAAGAATACGAACAATACGTGGCACGAGGATATAAATACGCCTAGTGATTTAAGTTCTAATTTATTCTTTTGATATATTTTCTGATCTGTAGTTTCAGTCACTCTTGAGTATTTTATTTCATAGTTCTTGCTTATTTTGTTGTTCTGCAGTAGTTTAGTAATCTGGTTTGTAAAGTTAGATTCTGAAACATTCCATTTATCAAATTCGTTTTGAATAATTTCACAACAAATTGTATTGCTTTAATCGAAGATTCCTAAATTTAAAAATTCGTATTTATTTTTTTTTTCAAAGACGTGCGCGTTCTTTTTGTCTCAATCCTATTTTGTATGTTGTCCTTTCCAGAAAATGTGTTTTTTTTTGCATTTTTGATGTGACTGCTTTGTCTAAAAGGAAATGTGGCAAGTGTCGAATGAGATTCAGAAGTGTGGTTCTTTCTGGCTGAAATTCCAAAAAAAAAGAAAATAATTGTTCGAAACCTACGAATTAATTTTTTGTAGTCAAGAATTTAATATATTTTTAAAGAACCTACAACCAGGCAGTTTTTTTTTGCTCAAAAACACTTTTTTTTGCAAATTCTGTTTTAAGTGGTTCTTTCTCAGAAACTTTTTAGTAATTAAGAGTAATGAACGTAGTGAAGACTCTTATATTGTTCTTGCTGATTTTTTTTTCAGGAAAAAGCTTTAAAATATTGATGCAATTATGTATATATGCACTTTTTGAGTTCAATTCAAATTCATTGCTGAGAGTGACGTAAATAGCACTCTCCAAGTACGAACGTGGAAATGGCGCAAATTTTTCAGATTTCCCAGCGAAATAAAAGCTTAAACTTTTGATCCAGTTTTCTCAAATTGGGTTAATGTTATTAAAAAATCGTCAATTTTAAATCGTTCAAGAAATTCAAAGAGTTTGAAGGGTACCAATTTTTTGTCTTTGAAGTTCGGAAGTTGAGATTTTTTTCTAAAACAAAGTCTGCGTTTTTTTTTATGTTTACTTGCGTGCATTACTTTTTCCAATCTTTGATTGGCTATGTTTCTTTTTCTCTCAGAAGTTGCTGATTATTTATTATGAAAAATAAATTTATGTAGTACAGCTGGCCGTTTGATGTGGCAGCAGACCACAAGCACCTGCTGCAACTTGAACCGTAGTTCAAGTCTAGCCCAGCGTGTACTTACGCAAAATATAATTTTACTGGATTCAATAAACGAAGTGATTTGTCTGTGGTTTTTTATAGAGTCGATAAGTTCATTTGCTAGTTCATTTGCTAGTTTTTTATAGAGTCGACAAGTTCATTTGCTAGAAGGTAGGCAAAATGCACTCCAGTTATAAAAGCTGAAATGGCGCGAAAATTGTGATTCGAATGCAGAATTTAGTTTTTAAGAGTCGATGAACGTAGCTCAGCCTTGAAGAAATCGTTGATTTTTCCTGTTTTCTCAAAAGTCTCAAAATTGTCCAGGATTAAATTTACCTTTTTATTTTTCGACTAGATATCGATTAAAGTTCAGTTCATTTCCTTTGTCAAAAAGAGGCAAAATCTTTTATCGAACAGCTCAAGTGTAAAGCCCACGTAAAAATTGTTCTTGAAAATCCAAGAGCTTCAAGGCCATATAATTTCTTGAAAAATCGAAAATTGAGATTTTTTCAATTTGTCAGTTGTTTCTCTCTTTACCTGCGTTTATTGACTTTTTTCAAACTGTCTGTTGGCTATATTTAGATTTCCAAACTTTAAATTCGAAGTTATTTTTTTCTTCTGTTTCGCGTTCATTGAATCTTTTTCGACCGTCTGTTGGCTGTTTTGAAATTTTGTGTTTTTTTTTCTTTCATTTTGATTTTTTTTTTTCGTAGCAAATAACGGATAGGCCCTGTTTTTATCCCCAAGTGTTCCTGTAGGATATACAGGTTGTTTGGTTGCAAGATTTGAGCAACTTTTGAGTAACTTTAGGAAATTTGGATCTCGTTTTTTTTTACCGAAGTGCTTTTATGATTTACATCTATTGGTTTTTAAAATGAAATAAATGTAGCCCGAGTTCTTTCTTATATTTTAGCTAATTGAGTTTTGTAATGTTTGCTAAAAATATGTTTTTCTTGATTTTTTGACACCCGTTTTTTCAACATATTTCATGCAAGATTTTCACTTTTCGTTTGAGACACGTGATATTTTGATTTTGGCTTCTCATTTTGTATCGCAAGTGGTGTGAAGCTCAGCTTCGCTTCTTTGTCGAATAATTCCTTGCCCTCAAATAGCGTAGATGTGTAAAGCTTTCAAAAAGTGGTTACACCATTTTGTGTAGATTTTTTGTATGATTTCTGGCCCTCATAATTTTTGTCTTTAAGTTATTTCTCTTTCGATAAGTAAGATGTTGCAACCGGATACTTGGCGTTTTCCCGTAAAGAATTTTTTTCTCAGAATTCGTGAGTGAAACGTTAAACGTGTTTCTACTTGCTTTATTTTAAATTCAAGTTTAGCGGATTGTCCTCAACACCCATGGTTGAGATGGCAAAAAGCCTGTAAATTGAGGGGACTGCCTTTTTTAAACATTTTCTACCATAAGTTTATCGCCTGTCTGTTTTTTTGTCGTCATGATTCCCGCAGAACGGTCTTTTTTTATTATTATTCAGCCTTTTCTGGCATTTGAGTTTTTTTAGATGTTGATTTATACTTAAGATCTGCAGGTAATGATAGTCATACTTTTATTTATCGCAAATGGTGCAAAGCTCCGCTTTTCTTTGTGTTTATTTTGTTTTCTGATTAATGTCAACACAAAAGAGCCTTCTGAAAATCTGATCTTATGTGTCTTCGAAAAAACGAGTTAACCAATTTTTTTTTAATTGAATTGGTTCCTTCATAAGTGTTTTAATTGGGTGATAGGCTGTTTCAATCAATAATAAAAGTCTGAGAATGTATTGATATTCTTAATCGAATCTATTTAAGATTTGCATTTTTCGAAATCTGATGTGTTAATGATGTAATTAATTCGTAACTTATTTAGTTCGTATGTTTTGTTAGGAGCATGACACACGTTTGATTTTTTTTACTTATGCTTTTAGGTTGCGAAAAGCAAGCGTTATCAAATCGTAACAGAGTTTTTTTGGGTTGGCAACTTTTCCAGTAGAATCACCGTATCATTTTGAGACAAGTGTTAATGGTGCAATATTTATAGCAAGCGTTATCAACATAAGTGGATTCAATGACTTCTTAAGTTAAAAACTAGTTCGAAAATTCACTTTTTTATAATTAAAACGAAATGTGATGAAGAAATTTTGATTGAACTATTAAGTTGTATAATGGTATATGGGGCGAATGACAAGAAGAAGTGTCTGATCCAGACCGTTAACTTAATAGGCAATTATGAAATACAGTAAAGCAAACAACAAAGTAGAAGCAAGGTACCAAATTAGAAAAAAAATGATTAGTCGAATAATGAATCACTTTAATATCGCAGCTAGTCTTTGTTGTTAGGTTTGAGGGCAAGCAATTTGTGAAACAATCAATCATTTCCCGCCGAAATGTCTTTAATTTGTTCGCTTCGAACGATGTCTCTTAAGTTCTTAATTTGAACTACATTTAAATTTTTCAGAAAAGTTTCCTCAGTGTTGAGAAAAACTGATTTGAAATTTGGTTGTTAGTGTAATTTTAATCGAAAAAGTGAGCGATCAGGCTGATTAAAATGTATGACGCCGTGAAAGTTTTAATCCATATAATGCAGCGCTAAATTGCAAATAACGATGAGGTTGCCGCATTCAATAGTACATCCGCGTTTTTCAAGGAGTTTGTGAAATAAAGTATAGTCGCCACTTTCAGGGGTTGTTTAAGTGTTCTTCATTATACCATCATACGGTTTAAGCTTCTCTCTAATTTTGCTTGTGTTTCCGAAGTGCATGATAAAATTTCTGATAGCGCCTACTCCACTAACAAAAAAACCTTATGGTGGCCGGAATTTATGGTGGCCGTAACTTTATATACTACCTGTATAGCAACCGCCTTGCCTTGTTAAATTGTGCATTTCAACTTCGTCTATGTATAGTTTTTGAGCTGGATTGGCAGCGATTTGCTTAACCTTTTTTAATCTCTCACTGTAACTAAAATTATGATGGAAATTTTACAGATTTAGCATGTGATGAAATGTCATTAAGCTACCAAAAGTAAGCTAGCTTGAGTAGTATATAAATATTGTTGCATTATAAACTAGAGCTGCGCTGAGCTATTTGCGAAAACAAATGGTTTTGAATCTGTTTATTCGAGGCATGCTTCAATAGTTCACAATGGTCAAAAAATAACTAAGCGTTTTAATCTACTGTCAATCAAAAATTGGTTTATTTTTGCTACATTCAGTACAAATTCCAAACATTTGAATCGTTTCATTCTTATTCTCTTTCATTCTTAAGTCTGCATTATCCTAAAGTTTTCAAAAGCTTATCCAAATTGAATCAAATTTCGAAAATGAAAATTGCAGTTTTCGGTGCAACTGGGCTTTGTGGTAAGAACTTGGTCGAAGTTGCATTAAACGACGGTTATGGAGTAAAAGCATTGATCCGAAATCCGACCAAACTTGACCACATCAAACACGAAAATTTAGAAATCGTGAAAATTGATATTTTTGACGTGGATGCTGTTTCGAAACAACTCGAGGATGTCGACGCTATTTTATCTTGTCTTGGAGGTCTTCCAACTTGGAGATGGAAAAAGGAGACTGTGTATAGTACCTCGATTGAAGCGATAGCGAAAGCTGCCAGGAAAGCGAATAAAAAACGAATCATTGCGCTCACAGGAGCAAGACAGGTGCCGGATCCCGAAGGTCGAGAAGGTTGGTTCATCCGTAATTTTGATTGGATAGTTATGCGACCAATCATGGACGACATGATGAGGATGGAAAGCTATTTGAAAGAGAACTGTCAAGATCTGGACTACACAGTGTTGAGGCCTACAGGATTCTGTAAAACGGAACCCTGGACAGGTGAGGCTATCATAGTTCCAGACGTCTATTTTAGGCCTGAAGATTCTCTCTGGATACCCTATAAGAAAGTGGTGTTGTTGATGCTGGAAGCGCTGAAGGAGAATAAGTGGGTGAAAGAGCATGTCTATTGTGCGATGCCCAATGGATTTGATAAGGTTGAAAAGTAGTTTCAATCAGTTAAACTTGATGCACTAATTGTATGATAAACCTACTAATATATAGAAATAGTTGGCAAAGAAATTATTTATGCTTTTTTTAAATTGAGCTAGAAGAGTTTAACAATTTTAAGATGATGAAAAATATTAAAACTATACTCCTTATGATTTGATAGTCATTTCCCAACTATTAATCCAAGTAAGTCTGTAGTTTTAGCGTTCTTCTAACTGAAAAATGATATAATCAGTGTTTTTAAACGTCATACTCATAATTATTTTTATGTGAAATTATTGTCGGTAGCAGACAATAAATAACTGTTTTACTTGAATTAAAAATTTTAATGAAATTTCTAAATGTGCTACTTGTATAGATATTAGTAATAATGGACTGCAAAATGGAATTCAGAATTTGTAATTTGGGCTTATAAAGTAGTTCAGTTCAAATATTTGAAAAACAAATTTTCTAATACTTAGCAAAATGTTATTTAGCTAATTGTTTTGTGTCGCATACTATCTTGTGATAGGCCACAACCTCAGAAGACTAGCAAATCTTCTTCGCAGCTTTCCAAAATTACAGCATGACTTGGATAACAAAGCATAGATGCCTTAAACGTCTATCGGCTCATTTCCAATTTCATCCACTTTTTCAAATTTTCTATTTTCGTTCATTTCCGTGTAATTACGGAAATCTATGTAATCCGTGTAATTAGTGCCAAATCTATGATGTGTCTACGCTGTGAAGAATGAAGATCATATTTGTTCACAATAGTTTGTTTGTTCATGCTAAATTCCTTTCGATATTTTTTGGCTTGCTTTGTGCCTCATTTTCCATTCGCCGCTTTGAAATGCTATGCGCGCATTGTTTAGCAAGTGTTGCAAAGCTCCGCTTCGCCTTTGTGTCTAAAATGTTCCCAATCAGGAGAAAATGATCGAATTCAGAGTTGGATTCAAACGTCTAAAATGATCTTCATTTTATTTGAAATTACGACAACAGGTACTCTTTACAACGTCATAAACCGTTTTTATCTGCTATTGAGTGGAGTCAAATAAAAATGTTTTTTTTTCTTTAATTTAAGAAGCTGCCAGGAGTTTCAACAACCCCAAAAGCCTCATAGCTAAGTTTAAGAGGTTTCTTTTTTTTCGAAACAGCTTTCACAACAGCCATGTTCATTGATGCAGGCTGTTCTTGTCTGTCAATGTTGTATTCTTGCCGAATATTTTTTGAAAGTTTTTCTGCATGCCTGTGGTAGAAGCTAATCGTTTGGATATCAAGGACAGCGCTTTTTTATTGAGTTTTTTAATTGCCTCAAAAAATTCTCATTCAGAAAAATGATTTCCAAGCCCCTGTCTGTATGTGACTCAATCGGCTTTCATCGCTATAACCATGACTTATTTCTTTTGTTTCATTTTCGATGCTTTTCCGTTTTTTTACCAATTTTTACACTGTTTAGCTTAGTTTATGATTAAGAACGTTTTTTCTAAGCTAAGTCGCAAATATTGGTGCCACTTCTGGGGCACCTTTACATCTTTTTAATAGCATTTGCTTTGAAATTCGAATAGTATTAAGTTACTGCAGTTGATGCATTTTTAATTCATCAAATGAATAAAAACCCAATTTCAAAAATTTTCTAACTCAATATATCTGGCAATTTTTTTGAAATGCATAATTTATACATAATTTGGCTTTTTTGCTTTGCGATTTGTTACATGCAAAGTTAGTGTGGATGCCTTCAGTTGGTTAAAATGTTGCTTGCAAAAATATTCCAAATTATTGCTTCCAAAATTGTGTCTTTTTGTGTTTGGTGTCACTTTTGCTGAATCGATTGGCAATTTATTAGCGTATGTAGCTGCTTTATTCGTGACTAGTGTTTGTCGGTGATCAAGCGTGCGTGGCTGAGTGGTTAGTTCGTGAGACTCAAAATCTCTTGAATGCAGTTGGTCGCAGATCGAATTCTAGACCTAGCCGAATTTTTGCTAATTTGCGTCTTATTTCTATTTTTTCTTACTGCACTTTCTAGAGCTGCTGTTTGTAGTGTTCTCGCCTCTGTGTGAAAATTTGGGGTTAAAAATATAGGATCAGACTTAGTTGATGAATGGATCAAATAACTTAATGGTTTTGTGTATCCCATTATTAGAAGTGATTCGTCACATGCGGTAAAGTTTTTGAGCGGGTTCCATACGTGCTTAAGAGTTTTCCTTACATTTTTTTATCTTGGGTAGAAATTTGAATCAGAAATATATTTTATTCAAACACAAGTAGTGTTCTTCCGATTTTCCGAAGCGTTACCAGAGTGTACGACTCTCTGTGGTTAGAGGAGACCACGGTAAATGTTTTTTTTTTTCCAATTAACAATTTTGAGATTACTGCAAGGCGCAACAATAAATAATCAATTGGACAAGTTTTTGTAACAACAATCATAATAAGCATCAATCTTACATTGTCGCTTTCTGCACGTTGTCGCTTTTCTTCAATTTGTCGCTTTTTAGAACTGTCGCTTTCCTTAATTTTGTCGCGTTACCGATTTAAGTTTTACTCAGACTAAAAAAAAAAATACAGAAAATTGTGCATACCTCTAAATTCTTTTTTAATGTAGGGGTTATCTACGGTTGATCCTAGTAAGCTAAACGGTAAAAAGTATTCCGAACTTCAGATAAATTGGCAAAACAGTTATCACATTTTGTTTTTTCAAAACCTTGTTTTGTTATATTAAATTTTGCTTCATAAGTAGTGCTAAGCTCGGTTTCACCTGTGTGATCAATAAAGTTAATTTAACTCATTTAAAGTTTAAAGTATAATAAATTATTAACAGACTGAATCCCTGGCTGATAGCACCAAGTTCTGCACACTGTACAAGTTCAATCGGGACAAACTGCCTGCCATGTTAGCTGATTCGCTCATCGACTGCTGTGCAATCGAGAAATCCGAGTTTGGTCTTGGAAGTCCCACATTTTGTTGATCCATTTGACTCATCTGTGGATGAAAATTTGGCTGATCTGTATCATAAGATGTCTTGCGCTGTTGACTCTTACTATCAAATTGGGTTTCATACGAGGCGAAATTTGGTTGTATTTTTGAGATATCAGTAATGGAATGGTGATTAATCGTAGCGCTTGTGCTTGAAATATGAGACCTGTCAGGGTTTATCTTTCGTGATGGTGTGGCGTAAATATCGACTGTGTGAGGCTTAAAAATGGACTGTGGTTTTATCGCAGTTGGTTTGTACAGTGAAGAGTAATGATGAGTTATAGTGTTAATTTGCTGAATCTGTGTTGAGTCTGTCCTTGGAGATTGCTGTTGTTGTTGTTGTTGTTGTTGTTCGTTGTGTGTAAACATAGGCGTGGCTCTGTCACGCTTGTTGTTTTGGCGTCTTCGTTTTTGGGCGTTGCGGGAGCTCTCGTTGATTACGAAGATGATGGCAACTAAAATGGGTGGGTGCTAAACGTGCCACTAAATTTAAGAGGGGCGAAATGTGTGTAGACCACTAAAATGATATTGCCTTCTCGGTTGAGAATTGCTTGGCACTTAAATTATGTTTTAATAAGGGATCGTAAAGGCAACATGAATAAAATGTTTTTTTTTTGCATCAGTGCGTTTTTCAGATTTTGTTTACATTAAGTTGCCAATAGGAAAATTTTTTATGGTTGTTCACACCTGCGGATTTAGGGATTCGACCCCCTGCCGACCCAAAGGGTCCCCCTTTGAACTATTTTGAGTTATCAATTTTCGGCTGACTAACCCAAAAATTATTCCCAAGGCGTCTTTGGCGCCAAAGTTTTGAGGTGGGAGCACGCGCCGAAAAAACGCAGTTTTTTGGTCAAAATTTTCCACAAAGTGCATAAAAACGCCTTTTTTGGTTTTTTTTCTCCAAAATTTGCCTGCAGCGCAGAAAATTTGGTCTAAATAGGTCTTTATAGTGATTTGGTAGAGCCCAGGAAATCAAATTGGTCCACCTTAAAAAAATCCGCTCCCCCCCTCTCGAGAAATTTCTAGATCCGCCCCTGGTTGTTCATGAAGTGTTACATAACAATTCCTCAGCATGAGTTTCAAGTAGATTTTAGAAAAGTGGTGCTATTTCAAAATATTCTTGACAATTTCGTTCTGCGGCATCAAAAATGATCGAGGTCTCCCTCCACTCTTGATGTCCGTATCAGCCCTCACGTATCAGATCGATTGTGGGTATTAAAGCTTCAAAGTAATCGTTTAATGTTAACAAATCGGCACTTAACGTAATAAATGGGACAAACTGCCGTGCTCGTTGCTTAAGGGTGAGGCAACATTACCCAGCCCAGATAAATAACCAAAAAAATTGCATGTAGTTCTTAAGCAGGGGCACAACAGCGGCTCGCCGTGATGAGCTGTACAGCTCGTATGTTGGTCCTATCCCTCGTGGATAAATGATCTTAAAAGGCATATGAAAATAGAACCAAAAATGTCAATTTTTTTAAAGAATCATTTTGAGCTTAATCTGGTGGACCTCCGATGTTATGTTACCGTTTAATTGATTTCGCCGCTCCATTTGGCTTTAATTTCTTGTAAAAACCTCTAATTTATCTCGAGTGACCAAAAATGCCTGTCATATTTTTTTTTTGAAGATTCTGCTATTTTCACAATTGTATCATTTGTAATGGTTCGGGTAATTGAGGTAGTTGAGGTTTTGATTAGTATCATGTGGCGTATTTTTTTTTGGGGGGGGGGGGGGTCAACCCACTCTCCAACCACAGGCATCCGACTTGTATTATTTTACGACATCCCTTTTCGGCCGACCAACCTTAAAATTTTTCTAAATGTGCCTTCGGCGCCAACATATGCTAAATTTGAAGGGAGCGCACGCCAAAAAAACGCAATTTTTTGGTCAACCTTTTTCCAAATGGCCTCTAAAAACGCCTTTTTTGGCTTTTGTTCAAAAATTCAACTGTTGCGCAACCGGCGTCGGCTCAGTTACCATTTGTTACATTTTGTCTCAATGCTTTGTAAAACTGGCAGTTGTGATCCTCAAAAATGTGTTTTCAATTTGAACCTCATTCGGACAACCATATGAAAATTTCGGTAAATGTTTTTTTTCGACATTTTTTCATTTCCCAATCTAGTAGCTTTCGTCTCATATATGCTGTGTTTATATTGAATCACATGTGGTGAAAAGCTTTGCTTCGCCTTTGTGCCAAAAGTATGTTTATAAGTAAGTTTTGTGAGCTCTGTGAGACCACATATAAAATGGGATGGTGAGATGATTTATACATTGATACTCACTTGAGACAGCCATGCAGAGGAAGTTGATGAGGAAGAGGACTATGGTCTTCCACCCGAACCACTCTAGCCACTCCATCATGCCACCCAGCACCACGCCCACTTGGCCTAAAGCACAGACAGAGGTATTTACACACCAGGATCTTAACTCCCCTCCCCCCGCCTTGCAAAACGGGGAAAATCATTGCAAGGTATAAAATTAACATATGCGTGACCGTTGAATTACTTCTTAATAGTGTCAGCAATTCTTTATTGCCCCTATAAATAGTTTGAGTTGGGGGGATAGTTAACAAGATCCGCACACCCTAATGTATGAGATGGGTGATGGGACTGGAGTCCACGTCTCAGTCCATATTCAGGTATAGTGGCCTTTTAATGCTTAGAATTAATTTCTGAATGCTTAAGTTAGTGACATTTAGTTTTCCAACTAAAAACTTGGCTTAAAAATGGTTAAGCACTGGTGCGTTTCAAAATTATCTTGCTTGATACCTAAAATGGTTTGCATTGGTTTTACTGTTTGGGACTGGGACCCTCTTTGAATTTTCCAAGAACAATTTACCATAACCGTTTTTTAATTAGTTCTGCCCAAAAAAACTTATCGGCACATCGTTTAATTGCACAGAGCATTGTTCAAACTAGCTTTTGATGTCATATTTAATTTCAAGCAATCAGATCCGAGCGTTATTCATATCTGTGTGCATATTTTGAAATTATTGGAATTTGGGCGGGAAAACTAACTAAAATGACCCAAAATTATAAAGTGACCTGTAATAGACAAATCTCCGGTAGGGTACAAGTAGGAATAGGAATCATCACTGGCATCGGTTTTTTGGTACACTTCGTTGTTGTCCGTTGTTAGACTTCCGCCATTGTCTGTGGTTCCGTAGTAGGAAATCATATTTGATTTTTTGAAGTTTTTTTTGTGTGGTTTTAATTGTTCGTTTGCGTGTTTATTTGTTTTGAATAGTCAAAATTGAGAATAATGGTAACAAAAAAGAAGTATTTATGTGGATTTTGTTCATTCGATTTCGTAGTGCTGATACCAGAGCAGAAGGTTTGAACAATCGGTTGCTAAATAAAATGAGTTGTAAACTCGGATAGTTCAATAAACTCGGTTTCAAATCAATTGAATGGCATTGCAGCAGCTTTTCTGAAACTAAAATAATAGATTGAATTAGTTTTATAATATAAAAAGGAAGCGAAAAACAAAAAACGTGTTTTTAATGGAAGAAAATAATCACTGGGAAATATATGAACAAAAAGTGAATCAAGGAAATGAATTATTAATTTATGGGAACTTTTGAATATTTACCTCTGAAAAGTTGTTTCCAGCGAAAATCAAATCTTTACATTTTTCCTTATTCATGTTTTTAATATTCCTTCGATATGCAGTTGCTAACCAAAGATATAGTTTAAACGTTTTTTTTGTTCCTTTGATTTGCCTTTAAGTAGACAATCATGAGAAGTTTTCGTCTTAATGCATTTGATTGTTTTAATGCAAGTTGATATTATTTAGTTGATATTGTTTTTTTGTCAGCTATTGTGAATAGATACGTGCTGTGAGTTAAAGTCGGTCGCTTGGCAAAAGAAATGTTCACTAAAATTAATTAAATTGCACTATTGAAAGGTCAGGTCAAACTTTGAATTCGAGCTGAAAAACTATATTTGAAAAAGAATTAATTTTGCTTTCGATTCAAATTATTTCTAATCGAAAAATTTATTGTGATGAAAGTGCTAATCTTAATGAAATTGAAGATTAAATGTTTCCATTACTATTTTTTAAAACAATTGTAGCTTTAAACCGACACTTTGGACGCAAAATTCCGTCTGTGACCAATAATTATGTCCATGAAAATTAAACGAAAAATATATCAGTGAACTTTGCGGCAACTTATTAGATCAAAGTGTATTTTTAGGAGTAAATTGCGGAGACAATTTTTCGTCTAAGAATGAAAACTGGAAATCTTTTTCAGATAATGAAATAATGAAAATCGAAATTTTTTCCTAGCCAAGCTCTTCGGTTGGTTTTTTTTTTCTGTGCAATTTGACATGGAGTCTGCAAATGACCACATGCTCCAATAAATAATAATGAGCTTCCTGTTATTGAGTAATAAAGTGAAAGGCTTTTCAGCCTGCTGGTAATTTGAAAAGTGGTTAAGACATATTTGCGCTTATTTTTCTGTCATATTTTCTACTAGTGCAGTTGATGTGACTGAAATGTCTCTGTTCTGTGCCGACCAAATTATAAATACAGTACAAAGGGTCTACAAAGGTAATATCAATTCTGGGCACGCAGAATAAATTCAGGAGTTATCACTTAATTTGCGGCATGTAGTGCAATTCAGTTTTGTTGATAGATATATAAAAAAGAAATAACGGATAAATAGACACAAACGCTTCGAATAATAACTGTTTTGACCGATTTCTGTCAATCTAATTGCTATATTGTACAATTGAGTTGACCGCAATTTATGAAATTTTGAAATGGATAATATGAAATGCTAGGTCGATTTCAAATTTTGGAATAATTTTGGTCAATTAAGTTTTGCTATGGTTGCTGGTTGTAAAGTGCTTTTATAAATTATCCGGTCAAAACTAACAAAACTGGACAGACTCACTGATAGCGTTTCTCGAATTAATGTGGACAAAAAACAACAAATTACGTCATATAAAACCAAAATTAATGTTGAAATTTGTTGTAAAATTGGGGCCAAAATGTACCCTAAATTTTGGCCTTTTTGAAAAATTTTGGCAAAGCTGTAGCAAGTTAGTTTATGAACCGAGCCTTTGACCCTTTAAAATGAGGAGGAACCTTGTGTTCGGGTGATGTTTTTTAGTTTTTCACGCAAATAATAATTGGAAGGGATCGAACGATATAACATATAGAATTCTTAGTCGTGGTTCAAAAGAAATAAAAAATATCAAAAATTGTCCCAGCATTGAAAAAACGGTTTGATTTTTTTGAGTTTTAGTGTAATTTCGAACGGGAATGACAGTTTTTTTTAAATTGAACAATCAGTGGAAAAACAGAAAATTGTTTCAAAATTTTTCTCATTTTTATTCAATTTTGAAGACAACTGTTGTAGTTTACGTAATTCACTAACTTATTACACGCGTTAAAAGTTTTCTCAACACACCACGCACAAAAATGTTTCAATAACAAGGTGAGACAAATGTTAACGTTTTATCTCTTGCCAAGTCTATCAATAACAAAGATAAAATAAGCGGTTGCTGTGCAAGTAGTACAGAATATTCCAGTGTCGTTTTTTTTGCGAGTCATGCTATGAGAAAACTATAGAAACGCGTAGAAAGTGAGTGAATTACGCATAATGATTGAAATGTTTTCTGTTGGTGAGAGAAAAGACTGTTGACGAGAAAAAAAAACTTTGTTTGTAGTTTTTTTTCATGAATGTAGTTGGAGCATTATGTACTACTTGCACAGCAACCGGTTAGTGGTGAAGCGCCTCCATGAATTTCCATGGGTCCTGACCTTAATTTTTATTCATGCATAAAATTCTGTTTTTTTTCGGTTTGTTACTCTTCGTCTCTATTTTGGTTGCCTTAGTTTGCCATCTGTTTTCTTTTTTTTTGCAAACGCTCAATTTTATATGCTTCAAACTGCTGTATTCCGGAAAATTTGACAATATCAGCAATAAGATTGGTTTAAAAGACAAAATTTTAAAGTATATTTTTGAGACGTCAAAGTTTGTTGGACTAACTAAGACGCTGATTACCTTAGTTATTTTGTTTAATACGAGTTACTTTTGTTGCATAGCCTTGGCAGTTTAATTGCTTGTGTTAGAATGCGAAGGTCTTTTTGCTAATTCCGCCAAAAAATCGATATTTCAGCAGCTCGAACTGAAAATGTTTTGCTTCAATCTGATTGGCTAGAATTAGCCAATCAAATTTCTGTTTCATCTCAGAATTTTTTGTTAACAATTTTCAGTCGAATTTTAAATAAACCGAACTGGCCTAAATTGAAGAATGTCTGGCAAACTAATTAAAATTACTTCAAATACGCTCCAGAGTTTAACCCAGATTAGCAAGAAAAACACAGAAAACAGCTCCAGGGGAAAAATAACCACTTCCGTATCTGTCAAAATTCGCTTTGATAGAAGTCGGCTTAAGAATAAAGTGATTGCATTTGTATTAATTAAACCAACCAGTGCTATCAGTATCTTGTTCTCAGCATTTATACCTTGAATGATACAAAATCGCAAAATTAAGAAATTTGGGCGGAAAAGTGATAAGTCCCGAATGCGAAATCGGTTTGAAGAAAAAAACATGATAATTTATGGACAGGCGGACTAATTGATAAGTTCCGAATGCGAAATCGGTTTGAAGAAAAAAAACATGATAATTTATGGACAGGACAGCCTGGACAACTAAGCTTCACATGTGGTAACGGATTGATAAATTGCTGAAAATTGTCGAGAACAACCAGACCCTGAGTTGGTCTGTGAAAAGCAAATATTGTCTGAAAACTCGATACTATTTGCTGTGTCACCTGCAAATCTATTAACTTTAAACTGATTTTTATAGTGCAATGTTTGCTAAGTCGATTGATCTGACGCTGAGATGTAAGCTGTGACACCATTTCCAATAAGTCAGTAAAACTCGAATGAGAATTCAATTTGCGAGATCTTAGTTAAAGATATCCAGAAAAACGATGTAAAACTGCTGCTGTTTGCCTGTCATGGAATGTCAATTAAAATGCAAAACTGCCTCGAGAAAGAGGGTTTGAATGAATGTAATTTAATTTAATGAGCATTAAATGCGGAATGCTCGAAGGGCTGCATATTTTTTATTAATAAGTCATAAGATAAGAACTACCTCAAGCAATGGAGTCTGTTAGCTGATCAATTTTACGACATAACGAGAAGATCTATGACATGAATTATCGATGTTTTATAGGTTTCATGATACAGCTTTTTATTTGAAAATAGCTTTACATTCTAAGAGTTGGTGAATGAAGTAGTTTTTGTTGTTAGTTTGTTTTAGTCAAAAAATTGTCGTAAATTTCTTTGCGCTTAAATTTTTGAATAAAAGACTAAATTTCAAAAGAGTTCATTCAATAAAATATAGCCAAACGAAGCTCGTCATGCAGTTTTATCTGTTATCCAAATAGAAACTTGCCCTCAGTGCTTTCAGAGAAATATTTGGGTTTATTCATCTGAACCCAATTGCGTAAGCAGTGTGAAATAAATGCTAAAATTAGCATTTTGTTTCATCTCGTGTTATGTTTTTGTTTATGAATCAGGTATCAGATCACTGAAACACTATCGTATTTTGGTGTACGGAAATTGCAAGTTTTTATGCATTGCAGCCAATCTTACTTTTGCAGACAAAAGTTGATAGGTTAAGTTCCATGAGAGACTGTTTCAGATGTTTTCCATTCAAGAAACTTTTTGCGATACTTGAATTGTATGTATGAGTTATGGTTCCGACCGCTGATACTGGGAAGAAAATTTGTATTGTGTGTTCTAGATTTTTTTGAACCGGGTACGACAACTAATCATCCGAATGGACTGCGTGATATATTATTATCAATTCTATTTAGTCGTGATTTGGTCGACGTTTTAAATTTTCTAAAGAATGTGCAGTGTTAAGAAAACTTGTTTTGTTTGAAATTTTTGATTTCGTTTAATTTTGAACAAATAAAACGAGTGAGCAGGCTGATACTAGATTGTTAAATTCTATTCCATCTTCGCTAGTTTAGTGTTACTCCAGTTAAATTAGTTTTTGAAGTTTTTAGTGCCATATTGAGGATGAAATTTTGAAAGATTAAAAAGTTACTGTCAAAAAATTGTTTTTTTTTGTTGTTTTCTATTCATTTGTCAAATATGCCTACCTTTTTCCGTTATTTGATAGTTATGTAATTTCTAGGCTGACGTTCTGACCTTTTATCATACCATAAACAAAATTTGATCCAATTTAAAAAAGAAACTTTTTTCTTAAATATTTTTCATTGTATTTGGAATTTTCTTTGCTACTTGTACAGCAACCGGCTATCCTTTTCAAAATTTGTTTTTGGATCCTTGTCAGGTCATCATACAAAAATTGTCATTGCTTTCCGGGGCTCTAAATTTTACAATGTCTAACATGAAAATGTATTTAATTGATTATTAGTCCTTAAATATACGGCAAATAAATACTTTTGTCCATAAAACGAAGCAGGAAACTTTTAAGATGTTGTGATATAACAAACAAAATTTAGAAACAAATTTGAGTTCATTCTGGGTTGCAAATTGTTTCTCAATTTTAAACATTATTTCATTTTTTGAACGTGTGGTAAAATTCACCTTATAATTATAACTAGGACAAAAATTTAGTAATAATTATAGTGCACTGGTTTAACAATTTGGATTGTTTGCTTTTCAGACTTCCGTTTTATAAAGAACGTTTTCCTGTAATAAAAAAGATGAAAATAGCGCATACATTAGCATTTACTTTTAAAAACTATTCAGTTATAGATTGAAAAGAGGATTCATATGTTTTTTTAATATGAAAAAAAAATTGAAAAACGTTTTTTTTTCTAATAGTTGTGCAATTCTTTTTTCAGACAATTATTCTCAAGTGTGGCCAGTTTTTACGTTATGAGCTTTTATCTAGTTACTTTCTCCGCGCCACGGATGTTTATTTAATTTGTATATTTCTCTTTTAACAATTCATAAATATTTGTTAGTCTATTTGCTTTATTATATTGCAAACAAACAAAAGACAAATGATTTTTTTTGGGAAAATAAGTGTCAATGTCTCCAATTTGAAACAAGGAAATCGGTTGGTATGAATCTTTAATTTGAATTTGGAAAATGAATTGTAATTTATAAAGTTATGAAAAACGAAAGTAACTTACCATGGCTAACATTATTGGTCAGTGGCGCCAACTTTGTTGATTATTTTTGTTCTAGGCTTGAATGATTTGCATAGATAGATGATAAGAAAAAACTGGAGTTCATAGTTGGTTGCTGGTTAGTGGTAATAACTTATAATTGATAACAGAAGGATATTTACTGGGCCAATAGTTAATTCAGTTAGTGTGTTCAAGCAAAGTAATCACTGAATATATGAGGCTGATATTGTTGGTCTTGAAAATTATAACTTAGTTAACAAAACTTTACCAGATATGAAGGATAAATAATTTTTTGCTGCTGCGCGGGAATGGATAACATATTTTGTATCAGTTTTTTTTTTTAAAAAAAAGTAGTTGTGCATACAAATTTTTATTTGGAATCATTCAGTCAGAAAAAATGACTGATCAGTGGATGTCTTCTAGTTTATCTTTATTTTGAAATTACAATTGGTTGATTTTCTTTTTCATAACTTTTTTAGATCTTGATTTGTACTATGAAGTATTTGCAAAACTCGACTCCCTGAATGACAAAATGATGGAAAAATGTTTGTTGCTTTCTATATTTTTTTGTGTACAGGGGATCCAAAATTTGAAAATCTGCTAAATGTACCTTCTAAAAAACGAACTGTTTTCTCTGATCAGTTTTCTCTGATTTCAGATAAGCAGATCTTCTTCATCAGTCAGGAGTTTCAGGTCATGCCCTAGGTGTAATTGAAATTGAAAACAATCAAAGCTACCTTAGTTAAGTCAATTCCCGAGGGCTTCAAATGAATTGTATGAGATTTTGAGAATATGCAAACTAGCTCGTTCTAACTAGCTCGTTAGTAGTAGTTCGAACACCTACGCGTTAAGAAGTTAAAAATAAGAAAAAAAAATTGAGTTGGTCTGAAATAAAATTTTATACCTGCTGTGAAATAGGATATTTTAAGTGTTTTAGAAGGAAATGGTGTCACTTAGATTTGACTTCGTTGGAAACTGAGTCAGCGTGAAATTCAATTTAAAATCTTCAGTTTTTATGCCAGATAGTTGAGGATATCTGTTTGACTGTTAAATTTTACTGCGCATTGAAAGAACTCTTTTTGTAATAGAAGTCAGCGTTAATAGATTTAGTTCTAATAGGTCATGGTTATGAACCAGATGCCGCTTTATAACTCAAGAATCGCCTTCTCCGCATTCAGTTTTTCGTCTTTGATAACTTTTTGAGACGTCCTCTACTAATAAAACCAAAAAATAAGCAAATTAAGTAAGAAGTAACAACTCCCAATAAAAGTAAGTTGAGGCGTATCTTTCAGGTAAATAACTTTGAGAGAACTATTTTATCCCTTTTGCAAAAGGGGGAGAAGCGTCACATGTGGTGCGAAGATGGCATTTGTTTAAACGTTGAGTTAGTGTTTTATAGGGGTGGGTGGAAATTCGTTACGAGGTACGGGGAGGGGGGAAGTTGATATCAGCTTTGAGCAGGCACCACAATTCGTTTTGAGATTTGAACACGCGTAAATTCACTTTAAAAACCGTATATCTTTGCTCTGAATAGTCTAAACATCGAAGTTTTTCTGGATGATTTTTTTCGACTATAATTTTTGAGATTTTTAATGCAGCCAACTCAAATCTCGACTGAAAGGGACAATTGAAGCTTATGATAAATCACTCAACGCTGTTCTTGAATTTGCATGAGAAAAAACGCCTGAAATCGAAGTATATCGAAATCTTCTGAAAAAAATCTCGTAAAAGAAAAGTGAATGCCAGCTATTTTACTCACCAGTAGAGACCGCTGTTTTTCTCGAAATCTTGTAACAGTTGTGCCCCTATGTCTAGTTGATAGTTAAAATTCTATAAATTACGGAAGGTTTCAGGACAAGTTGTGGAAGCCCGTTCAAGTGTTGAAATGTTTTACCATATAACAAACAATAAACAAACTAAGAATTTAACATAGTACGACTTGCCTTATCAACCATCTGTGTTTTCTAGTTTATTTATACTGATTTCTTGAATTCTTGTTTTTTTGTTTAACTTCTGCGAAATGTTTTTGGGAAATGTTTGGGCAAAAGTTTTGGTATTAAATCAGCAAGTGAAAATAATGCCCGAGGCCTGTGCGATTGTTTGAATCCTAGTCAGACATTTAAATGGGCATTGCCCTTAAAATGTGTTGGCCATTTGGGCACTATTTTTGTCTTTTGTTTTGCCAAAATATATGCCAGAAAGCTTAGATTGCGAAACGGAGCGTAATTAAGCGAATGAATAAGGAAACAATTCGAAAACACTGCCATCAAAATGTTGTTTAGAGTCTCGTTAAGGTTTAAATCACAACTTGGGAAGTTTCTTTTTGGAAACAACATTTTCGATCAAAAATTTTGCATGGTAATAATATTTGGATCGAATGCCAATCAGATAAAAATGGCAGAAATGTTAATTAAAACCGTATTCTGTGATCTGTTGTCTGCGAAACGGTGATGTTTTATGTACTTAAAGCGTTTTATGTGACAGAAACAATGCTTTAAATTGCTAATTTCTCCGAAAATCTGGACATAACTATTGCTTTTCTGATTTCAGATTTGATTGATAATTATGTGAAATCTGAGATTTCGGAAGCATGTATCTTTGACTCTCTGACATAATCTGGCGAAATGAATACTTGAAATTGACATCAAATTCCTGGAAAACAAGTTTTATATCATGTCTGGAACCCCGGAAGGTATGCATAAATATTTTAAGTCACCGATAAAATCTTGGGCCTTTAAAAAATTGTGTTGGTAGATACATCAAAATCATTTAAAGCAGTTTTTTTTGTAAACTATTATTTAGAAAATACCTGTCCGGAACTTCATTGAGTTACTGTTATTATGGTATCTAATTTTATCCCAGCTAACCCATAGTAATTATCTAAGACAAACAGTAAAAAGATAAGTTTATTTTGAGGAATCGCGCGCGAAAAAGCTTATTTTTGTCAAAACATTCTCAAGTACTTTGAAACAGGCTTGAAAACATCTCTTTCTTGTATCTCCTGGATCCGCTATCTAAAAGGCTATCTAAGTAAATTTGCGCAGATATGGTTTTTCTTAGTGAGATTTGTCAAACAATACTAGTTGTTTTCTCGTTTTTAGTCTCTTACACTTGGATATTTTGCGAGACGTTCAGCACAAATTACTCAAGTAGTTTTTTTTTCAACTCGTAGCATTACTTCCGCCCTATTCGGCGCACATTGTCCAGGAGGCGAAGAAGTTGTCCAAGGTGCTCCAGGGTGGAATAGATCTCACAGCCGGAGCACTGGGTGGGGCCGCCGGTGTGTTCGCGGGACAGTCTCTAGACACTGTGAAAGTGAAGCAGCAGGCGTTCCCCGAAAAGTACCCGAGGTAAAAAAATTATACGCTGATTGTAATGTCCTGGTGGAAAGGAGCTTTGTGGCAAAGTGTGTCTTTTTTCACGCAAAATTGGGTACCATAAACAAACTTTAGATGGGATCGAGTGAAATTTTAAATTTAAACCCTCTGAGTCTGGTGATTTGATTCCAAATACAATACGAAAAACGAGATTTCTGGTTCTGAATGTTTCCGTTCCCAGTCTTAACTAAATCACTCAATAAATTTTAATTCGTTTGTAGTAGGATTTTAATTACATTCAGGACTTTAAATTTCCAATTCGTTTTCAGAAGATTTTTGAACTATGTTCAGGCTACTGTAAGCTACTTTGGAAGCGCAGCTTCTGTTCGCTATTACGAAACAAGATTACTGCACAATCAGGATGCTTTGAAAAAGTTATCATTGTTTCACAAGCAAACGCTTGTTTAGTTTTTTGTTCCTTTTCAACCTAACTTAAATCAGTGCTCAATTTCAGTATCTGCGTACTTCTCATGTGTTTAAACCTCATAAGTTTTATCCGCTTTACTAGAGGCTGATGTTTAGAAGACAGTTAGGTGACATTAAAACATCAAAGCAGTCAGCGGCAAATTATTAAGATTCGATCAACGTAGTGACGACCCTTTTATTAGTCGTGACGATTTTTTTTGTTGCAAGCAAAGTTATATATTTCTTGAATAACTACAGAAGTGCATTCATACATATTGCATTTCTGGATGAACTTAGGAATATAATATTTTTTGAGTTCAATTCAAATTCATTGGCTGAAAGGTAAGCAAATTGCGCTCTCCAAATATGAAAGTTTTCGGATTTCCCAGCTGAATAAAAACTTAACCTATTGGTCCAGTTTTCTCAAATTGAGTTAATTTTATCAAAAAAGCGTCAATCATAAATTGTTCTCTAAGGGGGCATATATAATTTTTTGGAATTCGAAAATTGAAGTTTTTTAAAAAAGCAGGTCAGTATTTTTGCTGCTACCTTGCGTTCATTGACTCTTTTTCAAATGTCTGTTGACCATGTTCTTTGCTTTTCAGTTCTTATTTCTTCTGGTTATCAGTATTGTCGTTTTCAGCTTATTTTTGCGAAGTGCAGCCTCGACTCTGTTTTTTTCATGTATTAATTACCGTGGTCAGAACATTCACTTCTGCTTGCAGAGCTATCCATCGTCTGCCCTTGTTTGAACATTTTTTCCAATTTTTTACCCTGTTTTTCTCCTTTTTCTAGCCAAATCAGGTACCACTATAAATCATCAAAATGGGTCCAGTGATATACTATTTCAAATATTTTTCAAGCGTGATTACACTTTTCAAGCGTGATAGTTGTTTTTACCACTCAAAATCGGGTACCACAAATAATCATCGAAACGGGTCGAGCGATAGATATATCATATTAAAGTCCTTTCAATCTTGTTTCGAATTAATTTTTCAAAAGATTATTGCAGTGTTGAGAAGAAGTGGTTAACTAGTGAACAACTTTGTGTTACTCCAGAAAAACTGATATTAGAAGCGTCATATACAGTTTCTTTCGCAATAAAAATCCAAAGTATATCATTTTCTGAAGACAACTATTGTCGATTGTGTCTTGTTCACTGACGTTCTGCGCTTTTTCATTTGTTTTTTCATCACAACATTTTTTGCAAACGAAAATTTCAAAAAAGAGCATTTATTTTTATTATGAATGTGGTTGGAACACTTTGGGCTACTTGCCTACTTGCACAGCAACCGGCTTGTTTATTACTTGAATTTGTAATTTCATGACCATTCAGAAACAAACCGTTCATTGCAAACTGAGGAGCTCAACTCTTTTTTTTTGTATGATATTTGCAGTTTTGATAATTGTCTTCTGCATCACTTCACTTCTGTGTTTTTTTTTCAAAACTTTTATCAGAAAAAAGGTCAGCAAAACTTGTTTTACAGTTAGAAGGCATAAAATCAATACGAGAAATTGGTTTTCTTGCAAGTCGTTTTCCGATCAGGATAGTTTTTGCAAAAAAAAATATTTATTTTCTAAAGAATCGATGATTGTAGTTGAAATTATTTTATAGGTCCTGATGGTTGTTTTTTTCTCAAGAAGTCTTAAATTTTTTTAGTTCTCAACTTTTCTCAAGGCTAAAATTTAATTCTGGATCAATTTTGATTTATTTTTAAGTTTAGTTCGTTTTCTTTGTTAAAAGGAAGGGAAACTCTTCTATCGAACAGCGAAAGTGTCATGAAAAACGTCATTGACTTCTACTTTCGAAAATGGAATTTAGTTATCATATTTCCCAGCGAAATATAAATTTCACCTATTGATTCAGTTTTTTTTTTTCAAATTTGGTTAATTCCATCAAAAAGTTTTAGTTATAATTTGTTCTAGAAATTCAAAGAGCTTTAGGGCCATCTATTTTTTCTCCGAAAATTGAAAGTTGAGATTTTTTCGAAAAAGAAGTCGATTTTTTTATCTGTAAACTTGCGTTCATTGACTGTGTTCCAACTGTCTCTTGGCTACGTGTTTCTGTTTACTTGCGTCCATTTACTCTTCCAATTTTTGGTTGGCTATGTTTTCAAATTAAAGAGCCAAAATAAGGTAAAACGAGTTGCAAGGTCGGTATGGGAATAAGGGAATGAAAACTAGCATGGACAACAGTCTTAAATTCTGCTGTAACTCAATTGGAAAGCAAAAATAGCTTGAAAAACTTTCGAAGTATCTGTTTGGAATCCGAATCACGACTGGCGGGACTTAAAAATTAAATTACACTTGCATCCCTAAGAGCGTTCTTTGAGTTAGACAAAAAAGGCTGAAAAATGCGAAATAACTCAACACCATAGTTTCTTTACTTTCTAAAAGAGTGGTGCAAACAAAACCTGTTGCATGCTGAGATTTATATTTCTAACTCTCTAGATGTTGAAAAATTTTTCACAGTAAAGTAGTGTCACTTAAACTACAGCATGTTTTCAGCATGCTGCGTTGCTTCCTGCAGACGTGGCGTCTCGATGGCATCCGGGGATTGTATGCGGGAACTGTACCTGCACTCGCAGCAAACATAGCTGAAAATTCTGTTCTATTTCTGTTCTATGGCGTAAGTATCCACGATAATTCAGTGACCTTTTTTTCCACCATTTTCTTCACGCATGCTGTTATCTGTTGTCAACTTTGTCTAATTGTCATGAAAATTGACATGTGGCTGCGTTAAGCAATACAAAATGGTTTTCTTATATACAACTTCGTAAAGTCAATGGTTACGATCTGAAATTGATATTTGTGCAAAAACTGTCATGTGGCTGGGAAACAGTGCAAAAGTGTAATGTCATTTTAATCCTGATCAATGATAATTTAGTGTTCGTAGCTCTAAGTTGAAGAAAAGTCAGCAATGACTCAATCTCAATTTGGGCACCAAATGACGTCAGAGCAAGCGTGATCAAAATACTTTTCATTCATGATCTTCGTTTCAGTTGTGTCAGCGTGGAGTGGCTGGGGTGGTGGGCAATAAGGACTACTCGAGACTGACTGAGTTTGAGAATGCGTGTGCGGGGGGCAGTGCCGCCTTCTTCTCCTCCCTCGCCCTCTGTCCCACCGAACTGATCAAGTGCAAACTGCAGGCCATGAGAGAAGTGGGACAGGCCAAAATTGTACGCTGTTAAGATTTTTCCCTGCAGAACTTATGATTTACGAAGCAAAACGATGAAGATAAGCCATTTGTAAATTAGGTGCACACACCAGAAATGTAAGATTGAAGTTACTCTTTTAATGCATATCAAGTAAACAGGAATGTAAATATTGGAATTCGGGGTGAAATCGTAGCGAACTCACGTTGTTGAATTGAATTGTAGCGAAATGAGGTTGTCGAGTTGAAGGCCAACTTGGTCGCATAACTTCTAATTGTTTGAGTTTTGAAAGAATCAAAATGAAGCATGAAGCTTTTTGTCTATTCTTTGCAAAACTACTTGGTTTTCATAGGAATATGTTATGATTCGTGACCTAAAATGCTTCTGTTTTTCAGCCTATTCGTGATTTTCGGCTTTTCAGCCGATTTTTCAAGTCAGGTATCTTGCAACCATTTATTGTTCCGACAATTTGAAAAATAGGGAGGAACATTGTATTCAGGTGTTTTTTTTTGTTTTTTTTTTGTTTTCCACGCAAAATCAGCAACCACAAATAATCATCAAGAAAGTTGAGTGATATATCATTTTAAAGTCTTTTTAGTCATAATTCGAACGACTTTTAAAAATTTTCAAAAAACTTGTGTCGAGAAAAACTGGTTTGAAATTGTTGGTTTTTGTCTAATTTCGTGTGAGCGAGCAGGCTCTTAATAGTTTATTTTATTAGCTTAAAAGCTTACAATTGCTTAATTTAAGCAGTAAAAACTTATCTTCACTCGACTAAAGTTAGTTTTTGTATGATTTTTTTTGTTTTTCTTATCGTTTTTCTACAAAAATTGAAAACTTCTTTTCCATATTGCTTATTTTACCATAACTTTCGAATAGGCCTAAGCTCTAGTTTTTTGTCCAGCTCCTTCTGTCACACCTCGCATGAAAAAAAAACGATTTTATTTCGAAAAAAAATCTTTCTTCTTGGATTTTTTCAAGTCTATGGTCGGAACATTATGTGCTACTTGCACAGTAACCGGCTATCCTTGATTGATTTTTCCATGTTTTGAAAAATGTGCGTTTTTGTCTGTTTTTAAATTAAAATTTTCTTTTACAGAAACCCATGGAATTTTCAGGCCCCGTACAGTTAACGAAACATGTGTTCAAAACAGAGGGTATCCAGGGATTCTATCGGGGCTTTGTTGGAACTTTAGTGAGAGAAATGCCTGGATATTTTGTGTTCTTTTATGGATACGAATTCGCTAGAAACAGACTAACACGTGAAGGCGAAAGAAAAGAAGATATTGGACCTTTCAGACTGGCGATTTGTGGTGGATTCGCTGGTGTTTGTCTCTGGACTGTTATTTTCCCATCTGATGTGGTCAAGTCCAGGTTACCATCTTTACAGCTTTTATCGTACTTAAAATATTCTTATTTCTAATATCACAAATTTAGTTTAGAGAGGTGCGCAATAATTAGGATAAAAATTTGAAGGTGATTTACAAACTACTAGTGAAATTTAAGTGATTTTTTTATGTTTTTGCTAGTCTGGTTGTAACTTCCATCGAGATTCTTAAAACAATCTTTGCCTTTTTTTGTGAATTATGAAGCAAAAACGAACGCCATATTGCATAGAATGGCAGTTTAAGCTTGTGTTTCCCCGCTTTATAAATTTGAGTTTACTTTAAGAAAGTTCAGAAAATGTCATTCAGTCTTCTTTTTTTAGATCTCAACTTGCTGAAGGAGCGACGATGCCATTTACGAAGACCCTGAAAGATATCTACAAGAAAGAAGGCATCAGGGCACTATACAAGGGACTTTTGCCAACCATTGTGAGAACCATACCTGCCACTGGATGCTTTTTCGTCACTTACGAATATTCTAGAAAGTGGATGATGCAACTGGGAGGAGAATCAGTGTGATTGATTTTATCCTCATTTAATATGTTCTATATTTTCTGCCTCATATTACCTCATTTTTGTGTAATTAGATAGAACGTGCAGTTCAATATCCTAGATTTTTACTATGATGATAGCTTGTTTTTTGTTTTGTCTGCGGTTTTGCGGGCACAAATTGAAAATTATTATCATCAAATGATTACGAAGAGCCAAGAACGGTGGAGAGGCGTTGTCAGTAAAAAATTTAGTTTCTGTGGAAACTTCCGGAATTTGTCTTGTTAATTTTTTCTAATTTTTCAGATGAAATGGTAAAGAAGAGCCTATATGTAATTCTTTGACTGGAACAGATAGTTAAGCGTGAGAGAATGTCCAACTTCAAAATCGGCAGTGCATCTGCACTCAAGTTCAATAAGGATTTCAGTTAGTATTTTATTTTTTTTTTCCGACAATAGTTGATCATAATTGTCTGGAATAGAAATCATTGATGTGCTATGATTTTTTTTGCTCGACCATAGTTTTTTCCTGTCGTATCATGTTTGACATCGCCATTGGCGAAAAGTTGTGCTAATTTTTTCCAAAGTTTTTATCATTTTTAAACTTAGTTATGAGATTTGCGGTTGAAATTTGAGTAAACTCGTTTAGTGAATCAGTTCCGTCAAAAGATGAATAATGTTTGCGCTTTTTTGTTGGGTCAATTTTGTCAAAACTAAATGCATCGCGAGCTTTGTTTGGCCCATATTCTTTCTTTTAGTTGTTTTTAAGTTAGTCAGCGAGACTCCTAATCCGCAGGGCTATTATTAATTTTGCTCGTCTGTCTCACTGGCAAAAATTGGCCTTGCATATTGTAGTGCACCTGAGATTTCGAACCTGCAAACTTTAATGATTACTGGTCAAAAACACTACGAGTGGGAGAACGCTTCGATGCGAGAGAACGAATGTACAATAAACTGTTCTCTTTTTACTTGGGTGGGGGAGAGGTTGATTTTCATCCATGTTCTCTTGTAGGCTGCTTCGCCTGTTGCACCGCCTCTGGCGTGCAGGTGTTCAACACTGATCCCTTGCAGGAGAAGAGGAAGATATCCGAACTGGGAACCTGTTCTCTGGTCCAAATGATGGGCAGATCCAACTTTATAGCAATTGTAGCTGGAGGAAAGTCGCCTATTTTTGACGACTCAACAGGTAAGAGAAAATGCCCCCCCTCCTCCTCTCAGGGTTTTGACCCCCAGCCGACCCAAAGGGATCCCCTTGGGTACTATTTTACGACATATTTTTTTGGCAGACTGTCCCTATAAATTTTCTAAAGCCGCCAATATATGCTTATTCTGAGGGGGGAGCGTGCGCCAAAAAAAGGTGAATTCTTTTTGTCAAAACTTTTAAAAATGCATAAAAGGGCTTTTTTGTTTTGTTTTTCAAAACAACGCTTGCGGCGTAGTAATTTTGGTGAAAGTAGGGTCTATATCATGGTTTGAGAGGGCTCAGAAAATCAATTGAGTCGATCAAAAAAAAGTCGGCAAATTTAGGAAAATGTTCGAAAATCCGCCCCCACCCTCGAGAAAATCTTAGATCCGTTTCTGGTTAAAAATTGACTTAAACGTAACAAATTTTAATACTTTGAGCTAAATATCTGAACTATTCTTCAAAACTTAACTTGGAATTTTTTACTGCGCTATTTGACGGCTTTTGGAATTTTGATCACATCAAACTTGTTGAGCCTCAGTTTTGTAGTTTTGACGGCTATATAAGTTGAATTTTTTCGTTTTAAGGGGATGTATCATTCGCGCTTTCAGGATGAAATCGAAATCATGGTGATAGTTTAGCATGTAACATTTCGTTCTTTTAGTGGCACTTTGGGACGACGCAAAGAGCAAAATAGTGACCCAGTTGAAATTCAATGAACCGGTGCTAAACGTCAAACTCAAAGCCTCCCTGTAAGTAAAAAGTATGTTGATTTCAATGTCATGTCTCATTTATGACAGCTCATAATGTCATAACTCATTGCTTTGATAAACTGTGGAATTGAATTTTCTTAACCTATTTGAGAAAAAAATGTTATTTAATACACTTGAATAAATTATGTGGTGTTTTTAACTTGCTGAAATTAACTTGGGCATGAAAAGTTCTTTTGTTCCTGTTCAACAAACTAGGAACTTTGGCTGTACTTCTTAGCTGTTGGTAGCAGTTTCTCCTTGGCGATTAAGTATTTCTGTTTGGATTTTTTGATCGTATCATAGGTAATCATGGTTTTCTATGTTTATATCGCCGTTTTTAGTTCTTCTTTGAAAGGTGATAAGCTTTAGGCAGTGATTTTTGTCGAACTATTTTTTTGAAGTTGAAATTCCATGCGTCTGATGAATGGTTAGTCCGAGATGCTCCTCACAGCACCCGATTAAAACGGTCGGATGGGGAAGGTCAAACGACTTCGCTTTGACGCGTCTTCTTTCCCTGCAAGCGACAGGTGTCTGAAATAGTCCAAATGAAACTCTGCTCTTCAAATGCAAGCGTAAAATGTAAATGAAACGAAGGCCCAATAAATTATTTTTTTTTTGACGTTCAGGCAGAATCATCGTCGTTATAATTGCGTGAAAAATCAAATTTCTGAAAGCTAAGTTAATTTGCCTGGTTCAAGAGAAAAACAAAACCTAAACAATCCACAAAGGTATTGTCATTTAAAGAAGCAGTTTTTTTAAAAAAAAATTCGATGTTCACGCTGAACCATTATTATTGTATTCGCTTGTATCGACGTGTTGTGCGTCTTCGCTTGTATCGTCTTCGCTTGTATCGACGTCTTCGCTTCTATCGACGTGTTGTGCGGCCTGGGTTTGTCCTTCATTTAGCCGGTATCCATTTGGACCGCCTTTGTTAAGTCCTAATTTTTGATCTGCTCATTTAATTTTCGATCAATAATTGATTATTGATCGAGTATCTTGAAAGCAGACCAAAATTTAGGGCTACACGCAGGCGGTACAAAAGGATATCAGTTGAAGGAAAGACAATCTCTACCTAACAGAAGGACCAGTCCAAAAAATAGGATGCTTTGCTCTTTGTCAAACGCGCTCAAGTAAGTTCACCTAAGCACGTTTTCAATTTTATTTCAACAAAAAGTTTGTCGGAAATGTCTTCGACCGAATTGCTTTGTCTGATATCAAAATTAGTCTTTGGCAGAATTGACTGAACGTGAATGAATCAGTTCTTTTTCTTTTAGAATAGTGGTTGTTGTTCCAACAAGGATCCACATATTCCAGTTCTTGCCAGAGATCCAGAAGTTGGCGTCCATCGAAACCAAAGAAAACTTAGCCGGTAGGTTTGCTAGAACTCTTTTATCAACCCATATTAAAGAACCATAGCAACTGTTGATCAGCGAAGTGATTTTCACTTATATTGGGTTTTTTCAGGTATCTGTGACATGTGTCTGGAACCGGGCAAAGACTTACTCCTCTTTCCAGCACACAGAGTGGGATCTATCCAGATACTCTCGGTCTCGGCAGCCGCTCTCTTACATGTGGTGTCCACCGCACCTGTCACCATTGCAGCCCACAAGAACCCAATTGCCATTATATCTTTAGATTCGGCTGGGAACTTTGTAGCCACTGCTTCTAGTAAGGTGAAGTTTATTGAGTTTCATCATAACTCAAAAATCTTTTACAGAGGCGTGGATCTAAGATTTTCGTGTAGGGCGGGTTTTCGAAAACTTTCCGAAAGTTTCGTCTATCAAAAATTTTCATGTTCTCCCAAAAGTTATTAGGACCCAACTTTGCCAAAAAAAACTGGCGTCGCAGGCGAGGTTTTGCAAGACAATTTTTAAAAAGTAATGACCAAACTAAAAAACATCTCTGAAGTATTACTAAAGGCATTTAAGGTACCTTTTTACAGAAAAGCCAGAAATGGATAACGAAAAATAGTAGCCAATGGGGAGAATTTTACGTGGCGAGGGTGTCGATATTGTAACAGGTGGAGGGATGGCATCCTTCCATCTCCCCTTAATCCGCTCCTAGGCAAAGCTACAACATTTACGGAATAGCAGGAGTATTCATCATTGAAAATATAATTTTTGTCGAAGCCAAATATGTTTTTGCTTTAGTTTAGGGGATTTGGGCAGAAAAATTATGTATCATGTTGTCTTCAAGTTGAAGTGTTTGTTGCAGGGTACTTTGGTGCGTGTATTCGACACAGCTCAAAGGAATCTGGTGGCTGAATTCAGACGAGGAGCCGACAGTGCAATGTTATATAGGTAAAGAAACTTGATAACTTTTTGAACATGCTTTTTTGGTGCCTGTTTTTTTGCAAACTGAAAGTTTTCTCTAACAAAAAGTTGTCGGCCTGTCATTTGTCTGCTTATGTTTTGTCGATTCAGTTGCACAATGCGGATTTTTTTTTGTAACCTGAGCAATTTCTGAATGCTTAATTACACAACCTAAGTCGCAAATAAAAATGCTCATTTGGTGGCACTTTTGGTATATTTCAATTTAATCATTGTTAAGCCTATTTAAGCATAAGCAATTTAAAAGCATATGTTTCTGCTTTTTTTGGCTAGTGTTAGGTCCTGTTTGAAAAAAAAAACAGGTATTATGAAAATTTATTGAATTTGTTGTTTTTCGTAGTAACTGTTCAATAGAAACTGTAGTTGCTTTATTGGTAGCTATGGTGGTTAAGTTTTCCAGAAATCATGGCGTAGATGCGAAAAGCTCCAGATCAGAGGCTCCATTCCGGCCTAGCAAAGGTTTTCAAGACTTTTTTTCTTATTTCATTTCGTGTTTGGTTTTAATGGGCTATGAATTAGAGCTTTTTATGATTTTGTGTGTACTCTATCAAAATTTTAGAGTAGCTTCTGGATTCAATACTGCCTGGATGTTGTGATGTATGGCCTGTGTATCAGGAGAGGATCTAGGAAAATTTTGTCGACCTTTTTTTTAGATCGACCAAATAGATTTCCGAGCTCTCCCTAAGCTCTAGAAGGAGCGTTTTGGCCAAATTTTCTGCGCTGTAGCTATATAAAAAACACGCCAAATAAGGCGTTTTTTTGCGCACTTTTTGAAAAAATTTAACCAAAAAATTGCGTTTTTTTGGCGCGCTCCCCCCCCCCCCCCCCCCCCCTCAAAATTAATAAATATTGGCGCCCAACGCGCCTTTAGAAAATTTTAGGATCCGTCACCAAACACGGATATCTCAAAATAGTACAATAAGGGGGACCCTGTGGGTCGGCAAGGGGTCGAATCCTTGAGGGGGGAGGAGTCCACCCCCCCCCCCTGAATCCGCCCCTGTTGTGTATAAATAAATGCTCATAGTTAGAGTTTCTTGTTTTCTAGCATCTCCTTCAGTCTCGATTCCTCCTACCTGTGTGTGTCAAGTGACAAAGGCACAGTGCATGTATTCGCAGTCAAAGACATCCTCCAGAACAGAAGATCCAACCTGAGACACGTCATGCCTACTGGCACCTCAGGTGGTATTCTGGCCCCCTATGTGACGTCACAATGGGCACTCGCTTCCTTCACTACTCCGGCCGAGTGTCCGACTGCGGCTGCGTTCTCGTCTCATAACACTATCGTGGGTTAGTTTGCGTTCAAATTATAAATATGTTTTTGTTTAAATTTTGAGATAACTGCAGTTTGAAGCCACGCATAAACTGAAGCCACGCACAAACCGAGTGATGGTTTGAAAAATTTCTCTATGATCCAGCTATCATCGTTTCCCTTAATAATCCGAGCGTGAAAAATAAGGTTTAAGCAAGTTAGATATTTTGCATGAAAACTTGGCGTTCGAACTTTGTGGCCGGGTCCACATATTGCTACTGTTTGTACAAATATGAGGGCTTCGTACTTTAAAAAGAGGCTTTTGAAAATGTTCTGTTGATTATGTTCTTTCAAATGATTTTGGGAACCAGTGTGCATTGTTATTTAATCCAGCTTGCTGCGTCAGCACGACATGGCCCGGACTCATCTATTTTTACCTTTTTTCTACAGACTAAACGAACAGTCCTATTTGAAACAGTCTTATTGAAAATAGTAAATGAATGCTATCTGTATACTGACGTATTTCAGCCATTTGTTCGGATGGATCCTACTTCAAGTACATCTTCAGTGTGGATGGCAGTGGCATCATCAACCGAGAGATGTACGACAACTTCCTTCAACTCGCACTCTCCTCCCCTGAAAACGACTTCTGATCAGAACTGACAACACGCTTAGTTTTATCACGTGATATCTCCTGTAGTGTCTGTTCTTCGATTGTAATTACGGGGATTTGAAAGAATCGCAAAAATTCAAGATGCAGTTTTTTTTGCAGGCACTCAACTATTTCATTTGTCTGAAAAAGTGTTCCACTCTGCAAACATTTATAAATTATAGTTGTGGTACTAGTTAGAATGATTCACTTATTAGATTGATAGACATTGAAGATAGATAGTGATCTTGATAGAAACATTATCAGCAAAAAGTTTTTTGAGCTTAAGCCAGCATAAGTAGGAGATTCATCAATGAGTTTTTTTAATAACGATGAACAAGGTTTAGTTGCTTATTGAGGTCTCAGTGTTTTTTTTGGGAGTAATTTTTAAAACTATTTCGGATTCGTGTATTTCGATTTCGATTGAATAAGATGAAAAGCAGCAAAATTGGCCAAAAGAACGTTAAAATTCTAGTAATATTGGAGCTCATCTTCTATTCAAGCTGTCTAATTTAATCTGGAAACTAAAAATATTCAAACTTTTTTTTAGTTTATTAGAATCCGGATAACGACCAATATTGTTTTAATATGATAAAACACTTGATCATTATCTGTGAGTTTTTTTTTTGACTACCTCGACGACAGCTCATTCAGAAGGTTCAAAAAAATGTCAATAAAACTTGATTTTTTTTCGTCATAAATTAAACATACTGACAGAGGATCTTAAAGGCTGACATCTATTTAACTTCTACTGCAATTTTAACATTTCTTAGCTATATTTACTACTAGTGTGTTCATTTCACCTCATTCAATTGCCCTTTCTTGACAAAAATAACAGGGTTTTTGAGTTCAACATTTTTTCAATGATCAGTTTCTTTCTTTTTACAAGCGAGCGTAGGAGCAATGTGGTATATTACAAGTCCATATTTTTCCGTTTCAGCTCGCATAAAATAGCGCTAATTTTGGACTTTTTCACCACATAGTATTGTCACTTGTTCTTCGTTTTATCCTTGGCTAGTGTTGTCAGTACCATTACAGTTGGCTAAGCGTCAGTACCATTGTTGTGTCGGGAAGTCTATTTGGAAGCTCGAGGCCTGTGTTTCGAGTTCCGTAGAACGAATTTTTTCGAAAATTTTTTTTGCCATTTTTCTCTACTTTTTTAAAGCATTCTTTGAACATTTGTGTTTTGAAGATATTGCTTGTCCGAAAAGTGAGATTTTTTTGGATGGTTTATATGCGCATGTTTCGGATAATCATGAAACATGGTAACACAGATGAAATAAAGGCCATCATTTGTTTTTTGCTTCTTGATGTTATTTGTTTGAAAATATTTACTTAAAGATTTCCTTGTCGCTGCTTTGTAACTCTTGTTTATAAAGTGCAACTTTGAAGTCGAGTTTGTTTATTTGGACTATCCTTAAATTGTCTTTTGTCTGTATTTTTTTAAGAAAAATATGACCGGGAGAAACTTATTTCATCCGATGCATGAATATTTGTTTTTGCATGTTTGCAATCAGCATAAAGTACCAATAATACCTTGCAGTTAAAATTGGACAATTGCACTAAATTATCCAAGTTTACAACCACTTTTTCCTTCAACACGGAGTAGATGATGCTAATAAAAACTTCAGAATGACAAATTAAGGAATTAGATGAGAATCTTTTTTTTTCAGATTGTGTCTGTTGTCAGTGTAATTTGCAAGCGAGTAATGAGTCTCATTAACAGAGCCAGAAGGTCTCTGTCTAATACTAATGCCACTTCCTCGTCAATTACTTCCATCAAGGATTCGCCAGCTGCCAAAAAGGAACAGAGATGTCCATTAAATCTACTCAATTTAAGTAAATGATATTAATACCTTATAGATGGAAAATTGCACCAAAATCAAATAGTTCCAATTTCAAGGAAAACGTCTTAAGCTTAAAATATTAAATATGTGGACTAGTTGAACTGGTATCAAGTTACTCCATATAGTTAACAGAAATATAACATAGTTTTTTAAGTTGGAAATATTTAATGCTTTAACGATGCTTTTTACCAGTCAAAGCGTAATCAAAAGAGCCAGACAGTGCTGGCAGCGGCAAGCTTGTTTGAATAGTAGCAACATAGTGCGATTGTTTTCTCATCGTCCTATTCTCACTATTTTTTTCGGACTATTTTTATATACTCGAAATAGTATTTTTATATTATTTTTTATACACACACACACACACCCACACACACACACGCACACACACACACACACACACACACACACACACACACAATTTTTATATATTTTTACGATTTTAAATATTTAAGAACTTGAGGGTTTGCATGTTTTTGTTAGATAAGAAAGTCTCGAGTGATACACTTCGTATATTTTTAGATCATCATTTTTTTCGTTATATTTTCAGTTTTTTTTTCACAGGAGTGTCGTGTTTATTTTTGAGGAGAAGAACCAGCTTGACTAAGAATTTTCGAAACTCTTTTGCTCATTTTGTGAGCGTTTTAAAAGAATGCAAGTAATGGTTCTAAAACTGTCTTAAAATCACTCAGAGAAATTCGAAAAAAACTTCGAGTTACATTTCTGTTACAAATAAATTGAAGTACGATAAATTTAATTGTAAAAAATGATTTTCATAGGTATTTTTCTCACCGCTTTCTTTAAATTAATATTGCTCCGACTAGTAAAATGGGGAGGTTTGTATTCGGGTGTGTTAAAGTTTTTTCCACCCAAAATCAGGCGTACCACAAACAATTATCGGAGTAGGTCGAGTGCTGAAAACATTTTCAAAAAGATGTCCCAGTGTCGAGTAAAACGGGTTGAAACATTTTAAGAGTTCAGAATTTTATATTGGTCGTGATGATTTTTTTTGTTTTCTTTTTCAGCAAAAGTAAGTTTGTTCAGGCTCGAATATATTTTTTGCAGTTTGACTTCTGATTTCTTTTTAAGTTCAGTTCATTTCCTTTGTTAAAAGGAAGGCAAACTCCACTAATGTAAGTGAAAGTGTAAAGGTCACGAAAAACGTGATTGACTTCTAATTTCGAAAATGAAATTAAATTATCAGATTTCTCACTGAAATAAAATTTTTACATATTGATCTAGTTTTCTCAAAGTGGGTTAAATTTATCAGAAACGTGTCATTCATAAATTTTTCTAGAAACTCAAAAAGCTTGAAGGACATCTAATTTTTCTGTCAATATCGAAAATCAAGAGAGCAAGTCAGTTTTCAAGATAACAAGTCAGTTTTTATTCCAAGAATACATGTCAGTTTTTTTGTTTTTTTGTTTACTTCCGTTCGTTGACTTTTCCCAACTGTCTGTTCGCTATTTTTTTTACTTCAGTTTCGAACTAGTAAAGCGATCGATTAACTTTAGTACGTAGAAACTTTATTTTTATAAACGCTTTTAGTAAAATAAAATGATTTTTATTTAAAAAAATAGGTTTTGGAACTTTCATTTAGCGCTTCCTTGACAGTAAAGGTTTTTTAAAAAATTATTTTTTGTTCAAAAAAACTATGGCAAATTTTCAGAAATTTGTTTTCTTTTTTATTAGGCATTCATTTTTGAGGACAAATGTTGCCAATTATGCCTATTTCACTAAGTTTATACGCGTTTGTATAGTTTTCTAATCAAACCACGCACTAAAAATGACACGAATTTGAAGAAAAGGAACCTTTTTGTAGTTTCATATGTATGCGGTTGGAACAGTGTGTGCTAATTGCTCAGCAATTGACTATCCTCCTTTGTTTTTGCATATGTCGATCAAATCTTTTTTCTTCACAAAAAATAGTTAGAAGCTTTGACCTTTTATTTACAGGTCTATAAACGCCTTTTTACGTAATTTTTCTTAATTTGTCATCGACTTGAAAATTTCTATTGAGTAAAACAAATGTAAAATATGTAGGAGAACACGCGTTCCAGGCCTGTCAACTAGTTCATATTATATGAACTAGTTCATATGTTTCATATTTGAACCAGAGTTCATATTTCATGTTTTTAGTTGTTTTTAATATTACAGGCTAATATTACATGTGCAAAGACGAAAGCAACCTATGTGGCAGTTCACGGAATAGCCACATAAGCTCGTACTATTTTGAAAAATCAAAGACAAGTTCGTCGGTATTCATCTCGACGAAACATCTTATAGTGGTAAAACAAGGGTTGAACTCTGGGTTGTTTACTATGCGGACGGTGTTCGAAAAAATCGATATTTGGGGACTATGGAACTAAAGGTCAATGTTGATGGAAAGTGCTATATGCAATGACTGATAATTGTAGTACGATGATTGGTAAGGACACGGGATTCTTAACTCGTATGCAGGATGCGTGGGTTGCAATGGTTCGGCATCCGGGCTGCAGTTCTCATGAGGCAAATCTTGTTCACAAGGAAGATGTTAATTGAATCTCCTACCAAAATTGCCCGATTGGCTAATTTTTTCGGCCTAGTGAGTGTGGATGTCCTAGACGATTTGCTGCTGCTAAGCTGTGTATGAATGGAAACTTATCCTTGCGAGAGTGCTTCGAGAAATCACTGTTGCAACAGGGGAAGTCTTTGGTATCTGTATGTGAGTTTGTGTTGCTAGTTTGCCCACATAACATGAACACAGAATCAAGGTTCTCGCGCATGAAGTTCGCTGAGAGTCAACACCAGAACTGTTTTTTTTGCCAGAAATATACCGCAGTGTGCGTATCATTCAGGAAGTCTTTAGCCGCGACGATTTCGAAAAGGTGTTCAATTTTCCAGCTGAGTTATGTGACACAGTTCGCCAAGCAGCTTCTGAATATAAGAAATCCACGGAGTCGAAAGTAGAAGAAAATTTACGGAAAAGAGGGCATGCTGAAGATTTGCGAGAGGAACTGCATGTTTTCAAGCGAATGACTCAATTAGCTCTCAAGAACCAGCTGAACGAAGTTGATTCTAGCATTGACGAAGGTAAAAAAGCCCTTGAAGCTCTTGAAAAGAAGAAGGAACTGCTCCATAACCAACGAACTGTTTCTGTGGTCACATTGGATCAACAGTCTGCAGTTGTCATTGACTCAATATTTGTCAAGAAATAAATGGTTTAATTGACCATCTTTTTCTGAAAGTTAGAAAATGCTCTTTTAGGTTCATATAAAGTTAGTTTTTCAAGGTTTGGTCCCAGGTTCATATTTCGTTTCATAAAAGTTGGCAGGCCTGACGCGTTCAAGGAGCATGATGCGTTACATTCACCTGACGCGTTACATTTTGAATAGAGTGATAGTAAGCTTAATTGTTTTCGACGGATCTAAATTTATTTTGAAGAAAGAAGTAAGACCCTACATTTTGCTCAAATGATTTTTTAAAGATATTTAAAAGGCAATTTGTCCATTTTTACGCCTGCGATTATGGAATTTTTTTCCATTTTTACAACTTGTTTATTTAAAATCACTGAATATTTTGTACTTCTATCAGTTGTGGTATTGACATGCTCGAAATCTTGAAAATTCAAATTTAATTACTGACTACTAGTACTAGTTACGATTGTTAAATGCTATATCCTGTACTGATTTGTCGTCTTAGATTCTGAATAGTGAATTTGGATTTATGTAAGTGTGTATTTTTATGCTATAACGTGTATAGGAACATTACAAAAAAATTTTTTAGATTTCCTTCTTTTTAGATTAAATCGGGTATTCGGCTTCACAAAAATCTCTGAACCAATTAGGTGGTAATAACAACTTTATGATTCTTCGCAAGTTTTTTTTTTTCAAGAAACTAAGATTGTTGTTGGTCAAAGGAAAGGTTTATGGACATCTCTGAATAGGAGAAGATTAGTGTAACTAAAACTGAGAACAACAAAGAGAACGAATCCCCTAGCGAATCAGACGAGGAGTACGTGGTGGAGTCAATCGTGAGCAAGAAAGAATCCAAAAAGGGCGAAGTGTTGTACGAGATCAAGTGGAAGAACTGGGCAAGCAAAGACAACACATGGGAGCCAGTGGAGAATCTGAGTCACTGTAAGAAGATGGTGGCTGACTTTGAGAAGGAACAGGCACTTACAGAAGAACTGGAAAAGAAGGTTCGTCCTTGAGCGATTTCTTCTGTTTTAGCCTGCGAAATTTATTTTTGCAGGACGGAAAAACATGTATCGCGGTGTTGCGTCTGACAGGTTTCTTTTTTTGCGGAAAATTTTGCCTCGAATACATGCCCATAATCCGGATTTATATCAACTACAGTTTGTCATTTTTTGTGTCTCAGTCAATGTAGTGAAGCCACATCACGGGTTTTTTTTGTGCGTTAAGCAAGTATAATGGTTGCAATTACTGCAATTGTTGTTTATAATAGTTTAATTACAACAATTGGTATAATTACAACTTTTTTTTGCCGGCTCAACTGGTGTCTGCTCAAAAATTATCGGCTTTGTTTCAGCTTTGTTGAACGAAGAGATTTTAAAAGCCTAAGTCGCAAATAAAAGTGCTCATGTGGTGGCATCTTTGGTATATTTTAATTTAATTCTACTAAAGCCTATTTCAGCATAGGCAATTCACTAGCATTAGTTGCTGCTTTGTTTTTGGCTATTGTTACTTTCTGTTTGAAAAAAAAAACAGGTATAATGAAAAGGTATAAGATTTCTTGTTTTTTTGGGACGCTTTGGAAAATTTTTGCACTTTCTTTTTTCAGTTTTTGTTTTTCAAAAACTACTGCACCGATTTTCAAAAAGTGGTACCAATGAAAAAACTGGCTACTCCCTATCTGCCTGCCTATTTCGCTAATCTCTTTTCATTTTAACCCACTTTCTATGGCCTTCGAAGTTTTCAGTAGGGGATTTTCAACCTACTTGTTTTGAATATTTTTCACTTGGGGATCAGGGGATCTTCAAATCATCAATCTCCACATCTCCACCTAAATTCGTTGGAAAAAAATGGCCTCAAACAAGCCCATTGGGGTTAATTTTTGTTAATTTTTGAAACAAACCTTCCGGCTGTTTTCCTAATTTTCCAGCCAAAATTGAGATTAAGGGTTGAATCGCTAGATGGCGTGGTAGAAATTTTCTTTGCAGAATTGATTACGCCTTTATTTTTGTAGAAAAAAAGTTATGACATGAGAAAATGTCCTTTTTTTGTAACTTTCTACTGTTTTTGTGGAAACTTTTGACATTCTTAAAAACTTCCCTGCCAAATCTGAGATTAAGGGCTCAATTATTAGAAAATAAAACATTGATGTAATTTTTTTTTTATCGTGAACCGGCTATTTTCTACTTTTGGCCTTAGAAAATGACCAATTTTTGAAATTTTGTCAGTTATTATCAGAAATATTTCAACAAAATATTTTGTCAGAAATATTTTAACAAATTTTCTTCTTCTAACTCTGAGGTTGATGTTTCATTAGGACCAGCATGTCTTCCCTGTGTAAACTTTTTCATTATTTTTTTTGTTTTTGCGGAAACGCCGGTGTAGACTTCAAAGAGGTCGGAATTTTTTTGAAACTTTTGCCGTTTTACCGTCTACTATTCGCAAATTTTTTTTAGGTAAGTCTGATATTCAAGGTTCAATCGAAAAAACAGTTTCTGGCAAACTCCCTACATAAAAGAATTTTCCCATGCTTAAGCAGAGAAAAAATTATGGACTAAGAAAAGTCAAATGTTTGAATGTTTGATCGTTTTTTGGGAACTTTTTTCGACAACTACCCGACCTCTAAGATAAAAAATTCAATTGAAAGAACGAGTAGTAGCTATACCCTAAAGTGGCTGTTCCCCTTCTTAAGCAGAGAAACAACTATGGTTTTGCGTAAAGTCGAATTTTTTTGAAGTTTTGAAAGTTACGCTTTTCGCATCAGTACAATATGATTTAACAATATGTTAAAAACAGGTGCATCCAGTATGATCTAGGCTAATAGTTTATTTCAAAGTGAACGTGGCGCAAATGCAAGGACAAGAGACTCCTAATCTATATTTAGGAGATTCAAATTGGGAACATTGAGATTGTTTTTTTTTATTTGGTCGAACTTTTGCTGTGTAGCATTGACAATTTGATAGCAACTGTAGCTGCTTTATTGGCGGCTAGTGTTAGCAATATTACAAGCGGTAGTGTAGCAGATGCGAGGACGTGATACTCATAATCTCGTAATTAAAACTGTTTTCAATGTTTATTTTCATCTAATCCTTTTTCTTTATTTCACTTTGTTTTGCCTTTTTTTAGAGCCCTTTGTTGTTTTACAATTTCCTCGCTTGTGTTTGTGAAGCGCAGCCTGGCCTCTGTATAAAATTTTTTCCGTTGCTCCTTTAGAATTCAAATTTCTCGCTGCAATTCATTTTAATTAAAAACTTATAATTAAAATGTATGGCATAAGGTTTTTATTCTTTTTTTGAGAGGCATAGGAATTTATTTGCAAAACTTTTAGTTTTTCTAAAAAGTACCTCATTGCTTTTTAGAAATGCTTGTCATTGGAAAGGCCGCCTATTTCCCGTGTGTCTGCATAATTCCGTAGTATCTTTTTACTTTACCACACTGTCTACAGCCTTCGAAAATTTGTTCAGGAATATTTGACCCCAATCTTTGGATTTTTTATTCGTTTACTTAAAAACTACCTCAAATCTAAAAGTTTGGAATGAATGGACAGAACGGGCTGTGGGGAGCTGCCATGCTTGATCGACTACACCCTAATGTTTTACACAATAAGTACTGGCCCTCGGATTTGTGTTTTTGTTTTCGTTTTATGAAACTATTTCAACTTTCTCGAAAACTACACTCTCAAGTCGGAGTTTTTGGGATCGATTGAAATAACAGGTTGAGTGAATCTCTTTAGCAAATACGCTTCTTTTTTTTACATGAAAAGCTTTTGCCGTGGGATTTCATAGGTGAAGTGTGCAATTGAGAAACTGGGGTTCAGAATATCTTCCTAAGCAGCCACGAGCTGTTTTTCCGGAAAAACGTATTGAAATTTTGGCCGTTTTAGAAATTTTTTGTTTTTTCTTAAAAACTACCCTATCAAATCTGAGATGATTGGCTCAATCGAAAGAACCCGTTGCGAGAGCTTTTCCTGTAAAAGGGGCGACTTGTTAGTTTTTTTGTTAGAAAAATGTTTTGGGCAATGAAATTACCCATTACAATCCCGCATTAGGTTAAAAAATGGAAAAAAAAATATATAAAGTTTGAGGTTCGGGCTGCGCCTCTAGTTGTATTTTTTCGAGACATGCGAATATTTTTGTAAACCTAGTTTTTCCAGCGTTTTATTTATTTCATTTTTATTTGTATCTGCTAAGTTGATGGCTAGTGTTTGATGATTTTCAAGCGACCATGGAGCAGATGTGAGGAAGTGAGACTCTGAATCTCCAGATCGGGGAATCGATCCCGATGTGTTTTTTTTCTTCTGATTTTTACTCTTTTCTCTTGTTTCCTTTCACGTTTTTAGAGCTTCTTTTCGCCGTTAAGATTATTGACCAAACACCTATCTACTCAATTGCTTAAATCTTCTCTGATATCAGAAGTTTTTATTCCAGTATCTGTTTTGTCGATATCGTGCGTGCAAAAAACGGCGCATTTTCAGTTTTTCGTATTAAGATGAAAAATAATTAATAAATGCGATTTATATTAATGCTTTAATCAAAACTACTTAGTTTTGAAAATTTGTTAACCTTTTAAGCCGTCTGTTCAAACTTACGAGATTTTTGCGGTCGTTCAAAGAAATTATTTGGAACGCGACTAAAATTTTGCGATGCTTAATTTTCATTTAGGTGCTTTTCTCTTGCTCCAAGTTTATGTTTCACTTGAAGCTGCATGGACAAAAAGGAAAGCGATTTGATCACAAACGTGTTGCTAACTTCTTAGGCAAATTGTGTTTCGGCATTTCTCTAATAGTTTTAAATTTAGCGAAAATTGTATGTAGTTTGGATTAAAGGTACTCAAGTTTTGCGGAAAAAAGCTTATCATCATTTGCAGGTGCGAATCTAGGAATTTTTCAGGGGGGGGGGTCTTTTTTTCGAAAAAAAATTGAAATTTTTCTCGACATTTTTTTAGGTCGACTACATTGATTTTCTGAGCTCTTCCATATCACTATAAAGACCCTATAATGACCAAATTTTCTGTGCGGCAGGGCATTTTTTGAAGAAAAAAACGGCCAAAAAAGGCGTTTTTTCACTTTTTGGAAAGTTTCGACCAAAAACTTGCGTTTTTTCGACGCGCGCTCCCCCCTCAAAATTAGGACATATTGACGCCGAGAGCAGCCGTGGTCGAGTGGGTTAGGCACATGTCTCTCAACACGAGGGTCATGCGTTCGAATCCCGCTTCGTTCACGGCTGGAGGGGTCCCAGTGTCATCCGCCTCCTCAAGGTGGGACCGGCTGCGGCGAAATGGATGACATCTCCCCCTCCCCCATGGTTGGTCCTGCACTGAGCAGGCCGGGGGCTAATTAAAAAAAAAAAAAAAACGCCGAAGGCGCCTATAGAAAAATTTGAAGGTCAGTTATCCAAAAGTGGATATCTCAAAATAGTACAAAGGGGGAGCCCTTGGGTCGGCAGGGGGTCGAATCCCTGAGGAGGGGCGTCCGCAAACACCCCCCCCCCCTCCCCTAAATCTGCTACTGATCACATGCCTGTTTTTGCGAAGTAATCATTCTACCGTTTTTTTTGATCATTTGTTCTTTCGGTTCGGTTTCATGCACCAATCATAAGTCTAACCAATTGATCGTTCTTTGCGATTGAATTGCTTTTCACCAAGAATTACTCCCTTTGACGAAATTAAACCCAACAGTCGCTTTCTTGGTCATAACATCAAACGTATTACCAACATACGTCAAATTGAATGCGTCAAGTTATGCAATCGGGAACCGAGATGTAAGTCAGTAAACTGGTGTAGCAATCAGAATTGCGAACTGAACGAAGCCGATGTCTACGATGTAGACTCGGAAGGAATAGGGAGGCACCTTTCAAATACCACGCTTCCCAAGTAAGTTTTCTGGGTGTATTGTTTTTATCTTTGTAGTACCTTTTTATCATTCTTTTTTTTGCGACAATTGAAAATGGAGAGGAACTTTGTATTCGGGCGTGTTTTAGTTTCTTTTTTCCATGCAAAATCAGGTACC